AAGAAATTTTTTTTCTTCCACTCTTCATTAAAGGTCAACTAATGAAATTTAACTCTCAAAACAAACAAAGGCTGTTACAGTTTAAGCTTTTGCGATCAATTTTACACGGTGGTAGTTTATGTGATAAATATGTATCAAGTTAGATGAGCAAAATTGTTCTCAATTTTGTCAGTACTAAAAAATTGCAGGACTATCAGATTTTCTATGGTGGAAACAAATGTGTTGTTATTGTCTAATTCCTTTTAAAATTAATTCCTAAGTAAAAAAATTAAAATTTTTTTAAACCCTTCGAAATACTGTTTGAATATATATTTATCTTGTTAAATTATTCAATAAAAGTAACTTTTTAATTTCCTCTATTGAAAAAAGTTTCATACTCCTTACTAAATAAATACTGGATTATTTGACCTGTTTTTTGGTCTCAGTCTCAGTAATAGTAAAAAACTGAGTAATACATATAAATTAACTTTGCGTAGCCTTTTCCTTTTATTATTGTCCTTGATATAAATTGATTATAATTAAATCAGATATTTGAAACAAATACATAAGAATAGTATTTACAAAATTTCGTTTAAATAATTATAAAAAAAGAAAAGAAATTATTTTATCCTCTGATTTTTACCTAGTCTTGTTTTTACTTAGTTAGTTTGGAATACATTTTTATGCAAGTTTATTAAATAATGAATAAGTTCATAAATACATGAGAAGACTTTGAAGTAGTTTCTTGTTAAATAATTTAAGCTACCAAAAATTAATGCTTAATTGAAATTTATTAAATTCCTTTATTATGACGCTATAAAAAAAGTATCATATTTAGTTTTAAGAATTTTGCGCGCATTATTAATATATCACTTGATAGTATTCTATAAAATCTAAATTGTCACAAAAAGTTTAGATGAGAAAAATTGTTTCAAAATATTATAATATGATTTTTATATAAACTTAATAATTTTAATTCAAATTAAACTTAAACAGATATTTAATCTCATCCGTTTCTTTGTAGTTGGACGATTTTTCTTTTAGCAAAAATGTTTTTGAATGTACAAGCTATTTTTTAAAAATTCAATAGTTGTCTTTCGTATTCTGTTCAAAATTTTTTAATTTTATTTCTGTACGAATTTCAGATGCGATAATTCCAGGGAAATGTATAAAACATGACAAAAACAACAACAGAATAAGACTTTGTTTCAGCATTTTTTAGAATAATTTTGAAAATTTGTGCGCAAATTTTTAGAATAATATGAAGAAAAAAAATGTGATTAAAAGAATGTTTGCAAAGCAAAATTTTAACATTTTTAAATTAGTTAACTTTAATGACAAAATAGTAAAGTATTTCCTGGCAGTTAGAAAGAAATAAAATAAGTCAAAATCTAAACTAAGTTAAAATCTCTTCTTTAGTAAGTAAGTTCGAAAAAAAAAATTCAGCTGATGAATATTTTCAAAATATCGAATTTACACTACTTATAATGAAACAGCAGAACATTATTAATAGAGATATTTTAAAACTTATTAAAAATATGCCAGCGTTCAATAAAAAAAATTATAAGTAATTTTAGATATTATATTTTATTTATTCCTATTTTTTCAATTTCATCTTAGACTTCAATTTTTAAAAAAATAGAAATAAAATAAAAACAAAAGCAACAAAATGCTTGATTTAGTATTAGCAAAAGAAAACATAAAATTAATATTTTTTCCCTTCAAAACAAACTTTTACTATCAGTACAATTAAATTGCTAACATGCTATGAACTCTTAAATAAACTCACAACTCATCTGTTATAGTGATTTATGATGACAGCTATAACCACCCCTCAATTAGTGCCCAGTCGGCGGTCGTAGGGGAAGGGGAAAAAATACCAGTCAAAAACTCGGGCCCGCCATTAGAGAGTCAACCCGAGTTATTTCGGGATTGCCGCTTTACGTGCAGAAATCATGCCCGTGTTATTTCGGGTCCACCAGGAGGGCTAGTAATCAACATGCATTGATGTTACTAGATTATGGCGAGAGTAGAGAGAAAAAAAACCTTTCATGTATTAATTACTCAAAATTATTTCTATAAAAATTTTAGTGACATCACACATTGATTCATAAAGTAACTACTCAGTAAAATTAGGAAGGTCGCCTATTGGAACGCTACCAAATTGAATTTTTTAGAAATATTCTGTCACAGATTAAATAGGGGCAATTTTAAAGAAAATTATTTTAAATTGTTATTATTACTATTAATATTAATTTTATTTTGTTAATATTTTTATTATTTACTGTAGTGCTAATTAAGAAGAAGGTCGAGAGTTGAATTTTTTTATAGAAATCTTTTCTTGAAATGAATTTTTATAACTTTTAATCTTACCATTACTATTTTTATGACTTTTTATTATTATTACTATCATTTTATTAGTTAACTTATTAATTTCCGTTTTCAATGTTGGCCGAGCCGCACTGAATATATATATATANTATCATATATATATATAATTTTTTTTTTCTTTTTCAAGAAAAATATTATTTTATTGTTTTTTTTCTTGCTATTTTTATTAATTTCATTATTATTGATTTTATTTTTTAATTGTTATTATATTTTTTTAATTCGCTGACTGATTTTCATAATCTGAAAGCATGTTCCCAAGTGTTTATTCATTTACATGCAAGTGCAGAATACCATATGATATGACAGAACTATTTAGTAGTGAAATCAAGTTTGACGAAAACGTTTCTGCGCCTTATCTTAGTTGTAATTAATTTTAAAAAATCTTTGTTGCACATGTAAATTAATATTTTCCATAAATGTATGGGTGTCACCCTTGATTTGTAAACAAGTCATGGCTTAGAAATCTGGTCACCATGAAGCATATGGAAAATTCATTTTACCTGAAAACACTCAGCAATTATGATCTAGCTCGTAAATTCCATTCGCATTTGAAAATTTTTGCAGGCTGTGAGGGAACATTTATTCGCAATCGCAACGCTCGAACATGCCATCTGGGGAGAATAGCAGTTCCATATCTTGAACCTCCCCCTTCCCTCTCCTCTTCTTTTCAGTCGTATAGGAATGTACTATGATATTTTCCCCTCTTTCAATGTCCCGCAGTGGACTGATCGTTAAGACACGGTTCCCACAAGATCACCGAAGTCAAGCATCACTGGCTACGGTCAGTGTGCGGGTGGGTGACCACTTGGATCAGTCTGCGTAGGTACCGAGGGTGTGCGGTATTGGTCCTCGTTAAACTGTGCTACCGTAAAGTGCTCGACTTCGCGCGCAGGTCGTCGGGCTACCGAAGCGGGGGTGCCATCCCCTCCGCAGAGGATCAAAATTGTGATGGCATGTCTTCGGATCATCCTCCGGGATGTTTCCCAGACCGTCGCCAATAGCCCATTGTGCAGCTCTAGTGCGACGTAAATAAAGAACAACAACAACCCTCTTTCAATATTTTTCGCATTTACTTATCAAAAATGTTTTTTCAAATTTCCGCAACGTTTTCTTTTAGAGCTAGACAGAAACTAACGTATTTCCTTCTCCTATGACTCTCCTCACGCTAATGGTGAAAGCAAGCAATGTGTTGCCATGGGCGATCGCAAAGTTCGAATGCGCCATCTGGGGAGAGACCGGTTTCATGCCTTTAGCCCTACTCCTTTCCCTCTCCTTCTCGTTTCAGTTGTATAGGAATGTACGACGATATTTTCCCTGTTCGTAATATTTTTCCTTCTTATTTAATAAAAATATTTTTTAAAATTTCGATGATACTTTTTTTTAGAACTATGTTTAATACAGTCTGTCTTCAGTTCGATATAGTTCTCCAACTTAAAAGATTTTAATCTATATGAAAATCAAGAGAGAAATTAACGTTCTTCCTTCCTCTATGACTCTCCACACGCTAATTGGGAAAGCATGCGAAGTGTTGCCATAGGTAGAGAGCTCTGCTCTAAGCCACCTGCAGCCCATTCCGCTGTAGCCATTCTGCTTTACACCTGTAGCTTATTTCCATCAACAGTACTGTGTGAGATTACCTGAGACGCGTTTGCGAACATTTACAAACTACGTGTAAGGGAGCTTTCACACTGCATGTGGTTTTCCCTAGACAGCAACGTGTGCGAATGGTTAGAACTGCACGCGTATGCATGAATCGTATTGATTGACGATTACTTACAGTTAGAATGTTGAACTTGCGGTAGTTGTAGTTCATTTACGTCACACTAGAGCAGCACAATGGGCTATTGGCAACTGTCTGGGAAACATTCCTGAAGATGATCCGAAGACAAGCCACTGCAATTTTGAACCACTGCAGAGGGGATGGCACCCCCGCTTCGGTAGCCTGACTGCCTGCACTAGAAGTCGAGCATTTTATGGTAGAACAGTTTAGCAAGGACCATTACCGCACATCCTCGGTCCCTGCGCAGACTGATCCAAGTGGTCACCTACTCGCACACTGACCGCATCCAGTGTTGCTTGACTTCGGTGATCTTCGGTGCTGCATTTACCTGCGATCGTATGTAAAAAGAATGTTCCATAAGAGAGACCTTTATATGATGCGAAAAATTCATATATGCGATTTTGAAGATACAAATGAGAACAAATTAGGTTCTCGCTCACATCTATAAATACGCATGCGTGATATTTTCGTATGTAGTCAGAATGACCCTTAATCGCTTGTGCGTTGTATTAGGCATACTGGAGCATTCACATAAATGATCCTACTGCGCGTGAATGTTTTAAATTGTATGTAAGACTAAATTCTCGCCCATGGACGAATAGCTTTTATGCTCAATCGCGCATTCAATTCTTATACAGTGCGAATGCTCCATGTAATGAGTTCCTTTTGCTTGAACAATATGCGCTGACGCATTGGTGTCAAAATCTTAATTAATGTAATTTAAGTCATTTCATACTTATTTTGTGCTTTTGACAATATCAAATCTGCTTCGGGGATTTCAGAATAATTTTTTTTAACCTTAGTTAAGCTTTAAATTGACGCTATTATTTACAAGAAATAATAAATACTATTGAAGATAAATTGAAATTTCACTAAGCATGAGTTGGTGACAGCGATTGCGTAGTTTTCTTCCCGTTTTCATCTAGATTTTGAAAACAATACATTGCGAAAGTGAACTTCACAACCTTACATATTCATAACATGATTAACGTTATAAACACTAGTTTCTTTGTCACTTCGGAATGAAACTGGATGAGACTTGGGTTGGTTATATTATATAATGTTTCAATGACTTCTAAGTGTTTTTTACTAAAAACAATATTCCTTGACGAGGAAAGTAGGTATGTGTATATAATGCAAGTTCTATGTCATTCATCTTTAATGTAGTTGGATTTAAAAAGCATGTTTTTGTTTTATCATGCTTACAGAAGTGCTTTTACGTTGTCTAAATTCGTATTTTTGCTGCTATATTTACTCCATCCAAACCGAAACTGACCGTGAAGATAGTAGAGGTTGGAAATTCTATTTCTACTGATAAACAAATTCAATTATGGTTCATTTCTTGCGCGTTCAGCATGTTAAGTTTCTTATGAGATTTGTTTCAGTCATTGGAATAAAGTAACAAATCGGTTCTTATTCAACATATATTTTTTTACAGTATGATCTGTTAAATGACTAGACCTGAATTGTGTTTTGCTTGTTATTTGCCTTTTTCCTCATTAATTTTTTTTACGTTTTGAAACTTGTATAACTTATAAAATTATTGAAATGAGTTATTTAAACTGATTCATTTTGATTACATGAAAAAATAAATATTAGTGGTCTTGGAAATTCAAGGTAAGGCACAGCATATTGTTTAAAGAAACATAGAAGGAATCAAAAAAGGAATATGTACTTTCATATTAAGTTTTTTCCCACAAGACTTGGCCCAATAATTTGGTCGATGAAGTGTTGCCAAATTTCCATAATCTATGTATATACCTATGTATATACCATATGTATATTCCATAATCCATGTATGTACCTAGTTTTTTAAAAGAAATTTTTAGTTTATCTGTTTTAGTTTTCATTTTAAGCTCTACATAACATTGTTTTTCTCTGTTTATCAGTGAAGGGAAATTTTTCTTTATGTATTTCAAATATGTGACCTTATTTTGAACAAACTTAAAACAAAGAGTTCTTTTTAGTAAATAGAAACTTAATAGATAGCTAAACTATTCAGAATGTGTAAGAATCAGAGAATTCCTGATTCGTGAGTGGTGAAAATCTCAGTTTTTAATACTATCCCATTTTCTGAAAAATTTGCTGCACCTTAGTCAAAACAAAAAATTATTGCAACTGACGCCTACAAAAAATGATAATGTTAGAGGGAGATAAAATTATATTAGTTGTCCATAAAAGATCATCAATTTCAATAAATTAAAGAAGATAAAGTAAAAAATGCAAGAGAAGAATATAAAATATTTTATTTAATTGCTCTAACTTTTTATTATTTATAACTGAAATTCTCAGTGTTTCATATTAATGTGTTTACTGAATAAAATTGTTGTGACATTATAAAAATTCCTTAAAAATAACATTTCTATAGGATAGAAAAAAATTCTGAAATGAAATGAAATATTAGGTATCAGAATTTCTGTTTTGATTAAAATATTAAAGATAGGATAAATAATAAGAAAAAAAATAAGTTTCTTATAAGAAAAGTTTTTAGAGGAACAGAAAAAAATAAATCGTCATTTATTCTTAAAACAAAACTTTATTCCTGAAAATCTCATTTTCATACATTATTGCAATTTTAGGAAAAATGACAGTACAAGATGAATGCCTGTCAGAAACACAATTAAAAAAAAATGTAGCAGCATAATCATCGAAAATCCATTAATGAAAAAAAGAAAAGGATAAATTGTACTTAAATCTGAAACAATACTTAAAAGTTGAGAATCTAATTTTTTTTCTTCAAAATAACTTTTTTTCACAAAGAAGTAAAGAGAAAATCTTACAGAAACAATCTTTTAAAATATGGAGCCGTAATGAAAAGACTGATTAAAAAAAGTTCTGAATTTTCATTACAAAATTTTGCCCGGAAAATCTCAACTTTTCATGTTACTGCTCTTTTAGGATGAATTAGGATTCAAAATAAGCAGTTGTTAGTTTTAATTTGCACTAAAAGCTTTAAATTTGACTCGTGGAAAATTTTCCCCTTTCATTATTTTTTACACCCAATTTTTAAAATAATTTTGCTATCACGATTAAACTTTTGACCGAGCTATGATGGATGAGATATGAGTCGTAATTTTTTATGTCTAAACTTAAAAATAACTTTGCTTCAACTAGAGAACTTCTGGCCAAGCTATATGACAAACAAGAAGTTAAGAATATCAAATCACATGTTAAGAGTATTGATGGGTATCCAAACTGGAAAACGAAGACTAACACTTGAGTATTTTCCTTTGTATGATGCTTTTGACCCAGAAATCAGTATTTCTTATATCTTTAATCTAAAATAGAATTAATGTGTGATTCGTATTTGCTCACTTCAAAAATCATTTGTCGTGATTCGTCTCCTTGTAATTTAAGAGTCGTCACACATCACAATTTGTATTCCCGAGATTTAAAATTCAGACATCGCAATTCATATTCACGCAATTTAAGGATCACACATTGGGTTTTGTTTTCATGCTGTTAAAAAAATTGCACATCACGATTCATTTTCAGGCTATTTAATTGTCGCGCATTGGGTTTCGTATTCACACTGTTTAAAAATCGCATATCGAGATTCATAATCACGCTATTTTAAAATTATGAAGGCTAAGTTAGCTGAATTCACTAAGACTGAAAAAAGATTAACTGGAGAAAAAAATGATTCCCGTTGTTTGCTAAGAAAGGATAATCATAATTAAAACTAGTTATTTCAAAAAGTTGGAAGAACATAAAAGTTGCTCAAATGATAGTTTATGCTTCAAATGAAAGTATAATTACTGCCTCTAAAAAACTTTTAACTATTTGTCATGATAAAGCTAAAATAAAAAAATATTTACATTTTAATTTTGATATAATAAATGTATTTAAAATAATAGTTAATCATATCTTTCCCCTTATTAATCAAGCTATTCCCTTTATCAAGTAAATGTTAAAAGTTAATTTTAGTTGTTATATTTTTCAAGTTGGAGAGTATTCATGTGTTTTGCATCATGCAAATATTTTTTAATTTTTATATATATTCAGAAAGAGTAAATTATTCAAAATCTGCATCCTTAAAGTTGGAGAAAATTTTGTTCTTAAATTTTATTTAAAAATATAGGTATAGGTGTTGGTGTATGCATTTTCAGAATATTATTTAGAAACCATTTTTTAGTACTATGATTTAAAAAAAGTATAAATATAGTGGTTAAAATTGTAATTTTAAAATTATGCCTAGATGAACCGTTTTGGCAACTTAGAAAAAATATTTAGGGGGCATTGGCACCCGACTATCACATTCAAATTTCTATCCCTGAAAAAAAGGAATGAAAAAATAAATAAATTAAGTATGAAAAATAAGTATCAGAAATAAAAAAAAATTTTTTAATCATTATATAAATCTCAAGTTTTTATTTAAGTATTTTTGGGAAAAAGTGATAACAGTAAAAATCTATCAGAAACACTATTAAAAAATATTATCCTATATGATAAAAATAGCAAATCCCACTGATAAAAATAGCAGTTAAAAAAATCCAAATCCTTATTCTTAATCTAAAGTTCTAACACTGAAAATCTTAGAAGTTTTGATAGAATGACTATAAAGGAAAAAAAAAGTATGAAAACTCCCTATTAATAAAGGCTGCATCATAACAAATTTGAAAGAAAAAACATTTTATGGAAAACTGACAGTAAAAAAAGTAACAAAAATGTTCTTCAAAAAGCATCACTTGTATTTTAGGCCATTCTCCAACTTTTAAGAGGTTACCAAACTTACAATTAACTATATATTTTTTGAAAATTGAATACAAGTTTTTAATTGAACTTAAAAACATGCTCCTATTGAGCAATTTAATATTTGTTTTTAAAAAACTAATCCCCATGGCTCATCTAGGCTCATGAGTAAGTTTTCGCCCAGGGTCACAATATCGTTAAATTAATTTCTGATCACGTTTTACTATATAAGAAACACTTGACTGACTATAAGTCAAAATAAAGCTTTTAAGAATGAAGCTTTTAAATTAATTTACATATTAAAACTAAAATTTCATAAAGATATGATGAGTCAATATAGAAATTAATCACTGTAAGGATGAATTCAAATCATCAAAACCATTTTATTGAACTTTAGAAATGCTTTAGTGTTCTTAAAAACTTCTTTCTTTCCAGTAATTTGTATTTAAAATACTTTTCAGTTTTGAATTTTAAAAAAAAATTCTCATAATGAATAAATCTTTTTTGAGAATTAAAGTTCAACTTAATTATAATTGATTGATATAATAATTTGTAAAATCTTGTTTCGTTGTTTTTTATATCTTAGCAAGGATAAAAATATATATGTATATATATATATATACACACACACACACACACACACACACACATATNTATATATATATATATATATAATACACACACATATGTACTGATGTCAAAAGTTAAGCATAATTTTACTCGTATGTCCATTGTAAATATATCTTTAACTTTTGCACACCAGAGTATATATGGCTTTATGAAACGTCCTGCAAAATATAAGTGAAATAATTTTAAATTATATTTTTAAGTAATTTAAAGTGGTTTTCATGATGACCCATTTTAATACAAATGTCTGCACATGCCTATGAATGTAAGACCAAATTTTATGTGAGAATTTTTTTTTTTAGAGAAATGAAATAATTTATCATTGTAAAAATAAAACAATATTTTGTAGTTTATAGGAGAAATACTCTTTATATATAGACTAAGAAACTAAGTTATGCACTAACTCTGAAAATATCGAATAATTAATAACATTCTTTTTATTAATTAATAATACAAAAGAAATCTACTCTAGTTTTAATGGGTAGGATAATTTTTTCTAATTTAAATTTAGTGTTGGGAGGGTTTCTTGTTTCCCCTCTTCCTAAATGCAAATGTGATAAGTATCAAGAAAATAAACCTCTGAAAACAAGTTTGGGCAAGACTTACTTAAAAATGACAACTGGAAATTTTTGAATTAGATATTATATTGGATTTATATTTGTATGCATCAGCACAAGTAGTGTTACTTCTTTATGGTTAAATGTGTAGTGTATCACTATTAAAATTAACAACATAAGGAATTCATCTTTGAGGTAAAATCTTTGAAGTATTTTTCAAAAAGACCAATAGTTAAATTTTTTATGAAAAAGATGGAGTTTTAAGTGAGTTTTGTTCTCCTTCTCTAATCTATATTTTTATTGTGTGAGTGTGTATGTAACATTAAGAAATTCAATCTTTTACCCAATTATTAAATTATTTTCATTATCCAATATTTATTATTTAGCCATAAATTTTTTTAAATCTTATTTATTTAGCTTGAAAGCATGGAGAAATATGCAATAGATATTGATAAAGTTCTTGATGAGTTTGAGGAAAATGAGGGTAAGTTAAAGCTTGCTGTATTTTTTATTGTTTATTGTATAAAAAATGGCATTTGAGTAAGATTGCACTTGTCTCAGAATATGGTAGAGCACAAAAAATTTTTTATAGTTTTTTTTGGTCAAAAATTTTGTCAACTAGAGCTTCTGAAATTCTATAATCGTATTTATTGTTTTTATTTTTCTCTCATAAGGTGAAAAATATGATTTGTTTTAAATAAATTAATTTAAATTACAAAATTATGTAAAATATTTTTGATATCAGTTTTTAATTTTGTTTCTTCTCGACTTGCGACTAATAATACCTCTCCTCCAATAAGTTTAATTTAGCTTTTAAGTTTGACAAGACTCAAAGTACAGTTTTCACAAAGATTAATTGTAAATTTCTTCGAAAGCTATTGGGTTAAAATATGCATATCTTTAGATTTCGTTTTACTTGTATTTAAATTCTCATATTTTTATTTAAATTGATCAAATTCCTGTCACAGAATTTTTTCTGGCCTTTTTTGACAAACCTCTACAGCACACATATTGACACAAATGCGCGATTTGAATATCTTGTGTTGTAATAATATCAAATGAAAAATACTGGAATTTAAAATTTTTTTTTGAAATTAGTACAATAACTAATGGAAAGTTAAAAAACTCAGTTGAATCGTCGCATTAAAAGTGTAATCAAATGCACAATTTGAATCTCACATGTCGTAATTAAATTGTTTTTAAAACATCAAGATTTGTTTAAATAAAAAACGTGAAAATTTGTAGCAGTAACTGTGGAAATAACAATTGAAACACTGCATGGATTTACAATGATATCAATGCAAATTGAGCTTGTCAAAAAGTGATTACCTAAATACATTATTCAAATTTTGCATGTCGCTTCGGAATAATATCGGTGTTTTGAAAAACTCACTAGAATATCAATAGCAATAACTGAAAAATCAAAAACATCAGAATTTCAAAAACAGAGTGAAAATTCATAGCATTTCTTCCTCATGAGCATATCTTCCCCTTCAAATACACAAGAAAAGTAATCTTTTGAAAACTACTTTGCAAAAAAAAAAAAGTTTTGAAAAATTCTGCTGAAAAGAAAACTAAAAATTTTTGTTTCCCAAATTAAAAAGCTTTCTGCAAGAAAAGCTCCATAATATTTTGTGACAATGTTGCTGTGTCACAGCAATTTTGCCGCAAGGATTAAAACAGAGAAAAAGAATGTTTTCCACAAAAGATTTGCTGATCTTCGAATAATAGTGCTTTTTAATTTTTAAAAGTGCTTCATAAGTCTGTTACTTTAAAATATTTTTTAGTGATATTTATTTTTATCATGTTAATTTTTTCAATAAAGCTATATCAAAACACGAAGCTGTATGAAGTTTAAATATCCTATTTGAACTTCAAATTATTCTCTAAATTTAATTTTTTCTTCACCACTAATTTTTTTTATTTCAAGGAATAATTGTTGCATTAAATCAGTGGTATTATTTTCCTCTAGCTCATCCTGAATCTGAAATAAATCCTGATATAAATATTTTTACCATAGAAGTTTTCTTTCACTTTTAATGTTTCATAACTGTATCCAATTTTAAAATTTTTTCACTTGTAAATACTGATACCGTTTTGTGGCATAATATCAGTTATGACACTAGCCTCTGTTTGTAGAAATTGTTAAAATACTAATAGTTGATTCTAACATAGCATAGTTTCATAGCATAGCATAGCATAACATTCTAGCATAGTTTTTCATTTTGCTCCTATTCATAGGAAGAAACTTAAATTTCTTTATCTCGACAAATGATTGTATTTTTTCCCCAGTGTATTTAAATTCACTGAATTGAATTAAACCAATGCCTTCTAGACAAGTAAGGCATTGTTTCTTATGTACTTTTTTATTTATTTAAATCCAATAAAACAAAATCAAGTTGAGAGAACTAATAATTTGGAAGAACATGGGGTTTATCTATTGAAATTATAACTTTTGATTTATATCCATCTATAGATAAAACCCTTTAAGTTTCAAAACTATAAATTTTGTTTATTTAATTTTTATTTTAATGGATTTATAATAAAAAAATACTTAAAAAACAATGTCTTACTTATCTATATAGCAGTGTCAGACATAAATAGGTATATTTACAAAATTGTTCTTTTTATGCATGAAACTCAACTTTTTATTTATTTCTATAGATTTGAAGTTTGATCTCATTCTTTTCGGGGTAAAAATTATACATTAGAAACAATATGTTAGGTGTTTTAGTAATAATTTAGGGAACTTGTGTATTATCCCATCGACCATTTTCACCCAGTCTGCGTCTTAGTCATTTAGGTATCTTCCAAATTTATATTTACTTAATAATTGATTATAAAGAAATACGCAACTACGAATTATAACTTGTGGCATGCAATAAAATGAGAAAATATATAGTTTTGAACCACACCCAAATTCATTTTCCGATTTGGTGAAACTAGTTGACAACACCTAAGTACCTAATTTAGTTTCCCCCCCCCCCGCCCCGGAATGTGTAAAGGGCATTTTTCTCTTTATATTCAAGCTTATTCTGTGAAAATTCCCTATGTGATTTGGAAAAAAATATAATATATTTGAAATCAGTTCACTCAACAATATAAAAGCCAGCCATAACTGCCTCACTCTTAAATAATTTTTCATCACTCAAATATCGCAGGTTTCTGTAATCACATTGGAGAATCCCAATCTCATTTAATGGAAAATACAGGAGTTGTGCAACTGTGATTATATCTTGTGTTTGTACCTTTAGAATATTTTAGTTTAATAATAGTGTTAAAATTTTATTTAATCTTATTTATTTTTAATTGTTATTTTTATACTTATATTATTTATTATATATTATATTTTGACTTAAGTCTGGCATTTTTTTTATTTCAGCTCTGGAAACAAATATCATTAAGTCTGTTGTATCTTCAACCAGAGAAAACTTAAAGAATTATAATGAGATATCACAGAGTGTGGAGAAATCACATGCCATCTCTAGAACTGATGATGCTTTATTACCTTTTTCTATAAATTCAGATTCTTGTTTTGATAATCAATTGAGTCAGATTTCAGATGACTGTATTGATAAACAAAATAAAAATCTCAAATTTCTCTTAGACAGTTCAACTTTATCTAACTCTAATGTGGGAGAACCTCTTGAAGATAAAACTTTGGAACTATGTTATAATTGTACATCCAATGATAAAGAAGATGTGTCTAATTTTGCTTACAACAAGGACTCTAAGCTTTTAAATTTTGATATATTTTACAAGCCTGTTGATTCCAGCAATTTTAGTAATCATGTAATTTCTACTGATAGTTATCCATCCATTGTTAATTCTGTTGCATGTGTGGAGAATGAATGTAATTTAGAAGATGAAGTGCTTTGCGTGTCTGTAGAGGAAATTTCCCCTAAATTAAATAATATATCCCAACCTGAATTTGAACAAAGTGAATTTACTGTTACAAATATTACTCATAGATCTGAATCTAAGATGTTGGCTGAGTCTGTGAAGATTAATGATCTGAATGACAGAAGTTACTCTCTAAATTCTGAGAGTAGACAAAATATAATGCAGTCTGAGCTTGAGGTAGAAAAATGTTTTGCTAGTGATATGTTTCTTGAATGTTCTGAAAAAGACTATTTTTCTTCTAATTCCAAAGAACCTGAAGGCTCAATTGAGACTGCAGTTCAAGAGATTTCTTTGAATTCTAAAGAGGAGACTCTAGAAATGAATAAAGAAAATTCTCAAAGTGAAGTTACTTCCAAATTTATGACTCAGTTAAGTGTAAATGATTCTTTAGAATGTTCAAGTTCCACACCATTTATTACAAGTAATGGTAATTTGGAAGAAAACATAATTAAGGCTGAAAATGATATCTCTGAACCTAAAATATCTATTGTTACGGATAGTTTCGAATGCTTGGCTGATATAACATCAATGAATGAATCTATGTCTTCTTTAATGAATGATGAGAAAGTTAAAGTTGAAATTTTGAAGGAAGATGAATGTGTTCCTAATTGTTCTGATATGAGTGAGGCTATTGATAAAAATGTTATTCCTACTGGACACAGTGCTAGTAATATTCTCTCTGACTTAAATCTTGTAAATCAAAGTTGCGATTCACATACAGAGAGTTTTGTTCAAGATTATTTGGTTCCTGTTACAAAGTTTGATGAAAAAGAATCACTAATGTCTGGTGAACAAAAAGATCTTGAAGAGGCTGTTTCTTTGAAAGATACTTCATATGTTCCTAAAACTGAACCCTGGAAAATGTGTGAAATTGAACATGTTTATGATTCTCCCAATATTAGTCAGGATGATGATTCTGGTGTTAGTTCTCAAGAAGATATAAGTGGTAATAGCCCCTCAGAAGTACCTGACAATCAGTCTTCTAGCTCATCAAATGCTGTACAGTTTGGCTGTAATCAAACAGTCTTATCCGATAATGAATCCATTAAGAATTGTCAAGATAAGACTTCCTTAAAGGGCTCTGTGTCCTCCCTTCAAAACAACAAATGTGAAGAAAATAAAAGTTTTGATTTAAATGAAATCAGTCATATACCATCAAATGGAACCTTAAATAGTGAAGAAGAAATAAGCTTCACTGGAGCAAGACCTAAAATGGATCTTCCAGTTTTAAATAATGTAAATGAAGAAAAGTTTTCTAGTGAAGATGCTCTATCAGCTTGTGATGGACCCACTGTTGATAATGATGTACTTAATCAAGGCATTATCAATGAACTTGAGATTAGTATCTCTGCTTGTTTAGAAAATGAGCTAGATTTAGTGTCTCAATCTATTATTTTAGAATCAAATTCTGTTTCTTCGGATGCATTAGTTCAGAAAGAGGACGATGTTGATTTAGAGGAAAATATTGCTTTAAAAACTGATAGTGATATAAAAGTTGATGAACTTTCACTTCGTTTACAACGTCCAACTTCTCTTAATCTTCCTTCTCTTCAACTTTCTGCAGCAGAAGTAATTGTGGAAGAAGATTTGTGCTTGGACCATGAAAATTCTGATCAACTTGTTGAAAATGGTTCTCCTGTTACGCCAATAGATGAATTAACTTCAGAAGGTATGTCTACATCTATCTCTTAATTTAAATACTCTCATGACAAGAATTTTAATTTTTTCCATTTATTTTATTCAGTTCCATGTGTAAAACAGCAGCAACAAATTGGGTTTATTAGACCCTACTGGATTCCTGATTCAGAGGCCGCTAATTGCATGCATTGTGCAATGAAATTTACTGTAATTAGACGAAGACATCATTGTCGAGCTTGTGGAAAGGTATGTCACAATAACATGCTAAAGGAAAAGTTCATTTATACTTTATAATGTCATATGTTTCTAGCAGTGATCAACCATGAGGTGAATTTCTTTCTAAATGTTATTGTTAAATTGTATTCAAATAGATATTTCCTAATAAATATTTTTTTTTCACTTTTCACAAGTTAATATCTTGAAAACATTTTATGATTGTATAATTTGTGGAAAGTTATGTGCTTGTTAAAAAAATTTAAAATTTTTAGGGGCAAGTCATTGGTAGTGTTGTCATGAGGGATGGTGGGTATATGTCCTTGTCTATAATTTGTAATCTCTAAAAGTTAACTTAAATATTTTAGACAAATAGAGAACATTCTCATAAATCTTCAATTTAAATTCAGATTATAAATAATTTAATAGATATTAAATATAAGAAAATAAAAAAGAATAAATGTGAAAATTTAATATAATAAAATGTTATACTAACAAATGGATTCGTCATTATTATCTTTAAAGAAGGGTTTTAAAAATCTGAAGAATTCTATTAAGATATGTTTTTGATAAATTTTTGGGCAAGAAATTGGTATCAGCTGCTCTCTTCAGTTTGGACTACTTTCACTTGTATAGGTTAAAATTGCTGTTATGTAAAAAAAAAAACAGAAAATAAATAACATAAAAAAAGTATCACGTTTTATTTCAAATTATATGATACATTTTGACTAAAATGTTGCCAGTCTAATTATTGAATTAGGTCAAATTTTCCACTTAGTGATCAAGTAATTTTAACCAATGAGATTCCCTATTTTGAATGTAAATATCATTAAGTTAGGAACAATATAAAATTTAATGGCACAAATATTGATCTTGTGTCTTTAAATTTCATATTGAATCGAATATTAGCCATATGGCACAACAAGAAGTCGGTGGTTCTTTGAGCAGGGTTTATTCTGGCCCTTAAAAGAGGCGGGGCACTTGAAATTAAGAAGGGCACTATATCCTAAAAAAAAGCAACTATGAGCTAAAAAGGGCTTTGTATTTCACAAAAAATTACGTAGTTCTTAAGATATCTATTATATTCTTAATTGTTTTCACTCATTCAAAATTCTTAATTATATTAACTCATACTTATTCTTATAACTATGAGTTGTTATATATTATCAGTCTAAATATTGATTTTAATTCTTTTATGTCACAATTTAGGTAGATTTTTTAGATTTAAGTGAAATTAAAGTGATCACCAAGTGACCTGATCTAAATTAAAAAATTTTCTTGTTTGGCTCTCAATATTTGTTATTACTTATATGCAGGGGAACAGAATATCTGATTGCATTAATGAATTTTTTGGGGAAATCCTAGCAACCATGGGGGAAATATTTGATCTAATCTATAAAATTTTTTGTTAACAAATTTGTGACTTAGCAAAATTTTTCCTTTTTAAAAAAACATTATACGTCAATTTGTGTATTTATTTGTTTGAATTCCTTAATTTTTTTTAAGTGGGACCTTAAATTTAATAAAATACATTATTATGGTTAAATTGTATTTTAATTTCTATTATTTTATCACACATATGCTCATTTTGTCAAGAATTATGTAAAATCAAATGAATTTTTTTCTGATAGAAATTTTATTTTTCAAAAATATTTACAAAAATTATTGTGCTAAAAAAAAAAAAAAAATACTAAAATTTTTGGGGAAATTTTGATTTAAAAAGAAACATTTATAAGAAACATAAGGCTCTGAAATTTTAAATTAGTTAATAATTTTTTTAGTCAACCAATTCAAGGGTTTAATTAAATTACTTTCAATATTCAGTACAGCTATTAGAATAAGTTTTCTAACTAAATGATAATTTATTATGTTATAGTAGTTTTAGTACATGTACATTTTACTCTATACAGCTTTGCATCAATTGAAAAAATAGTATGAATTTCTGTCCTATTCTTACAAAACCTGAAAAATGAACTCAGAGTGCAGGAACTTCAAAACTATTTTTTTTCTTGTAATCGCATGCTTCGGGGAAAGGATGAGTTAAAATGGAAGTAAATGAAAATTGATTTTACATATGATAAATGAGATTATTGTTCAGCGTTTTTCATAAGCTGATTGTTTTTGTATTTTTATTTTCAGTAATTTAACAAATTAATGGATTGGATAAATTGCAATTTTACACATTTTTATGTATAATTTAATATTTTCTACACCAAATTTTTTTTTTTTTTACAGTAATTGTCAAAGCAAAAGGAGTTTAGTGTGAAAGTAATTCGAAATTATGATTGATCACTTGTAATTTTACATGTATGTTTATTTATAAATACTTATTTAAAATAGGTTATAATTATCCTTGTAGTAAAATTTTAGATTTATGACAATTGTCAAGAACTATGTCAAAAGGAGTTTTGACATGATGGATAAAACCATGGTTGAAACAGATACAACAGTGTCAATTGTCAAAAACTTGTCAACCCTGAGGGGTAAAACATTCCTTACACCATGCCTTTGTTACATTCTTGCGACCTGTTACTTACCTGCATTGCATGTGTTTTTCAATTGCATTCTTAAAATATAAAAGTAGATTGCCGTGGGAGATAAAAAGGAAAATGATGGTAATGAAGTTCTCGAGAATTAATTCAACAAAATAAAGTTTCAATTTCAGGAGAAAGAAAAGGAGAAAAAATTACTAGATAGGTTTTTGCTTTAAATAAACTGCCCATACGAAAATGTAAAGTTTAAAATCATAAACGCTATGACGTATCTCTGAAAAATTATGGTAACAATATCTGTGTGTGCAGAAAGCCTTTGGCATCAGCAGCCTATACAGCTGCGTCTTTTGTTGATAGATTTAGTGTTATTACTATATGTGCATATTAAAATAGGATATTAATTATAAAATTTAACATTTGTCACAAAAACAAGTTATTTTTATTAGGAGTATGTAGAAATCGTTTAAAGATTTAATTTATAATTTTTTTTTAGGTTTTATGCTCACGATGTTGTAACCAGCGAGCACATTTGGCTTACATGAATAAAGAAGACAGAATATGTCAACCATGTGCTGAAATTTTGACATCTGGATATAATAATATGGGTAATTTTTAAGATAATTTTTTGTGAAATTTCAAGAAGTTTTTGCCAATGTTTTATGTTAATTTTATATGAATATATGTAATGTAGCAATGCAGGGAATGTTTTTGTTGATCTTAGCCATGAATGAAAGAGAGAAAAAAATCATCACGTCTGAAACCATGTATCAAAAATTTATTTTGCGTATTGATATTTTAGGTAGAACATTGCATGCACTGATGAAAATTAAATATAGTTTTTCAATGTACTTAACATTTGTGAGAAAGAAAATGTCTTGAAAAAATACCTATTACTGTTAAGAATTCAAAATATTTTAAAAACAGCTTTATTAACTGAAATTAACTACATTCTTAAATTTGCTTCAATTATTGACCAATACTGTATAATTATACTACAAGTACCTCTATGGTTCTAAAGTAGCTTTAAATTAGACAGTTTAATAATAAACAAATAACTTTAAACATTTTATTGATCATCTACACCTTTCCTCTCATTTATGCCATCATTTCCTTATATAGCAACGCAAGATGGTTTTGTTTTCTGTAAGCAAGCAAAATTTCATTTTTGAGTTTGATTAGTAGTGTTAAAATTCGTTATAATAAAGAATAAAATGACACAGTTTTTAAAATTTCATTAGAACCATTTTTTTAAGAATTACTTTTGTTCTGAAAACTTAAGTCTTTTCTGCAGAAATATTTATGAAATTTAAATTTCCAAAAATTGCATCATTTTCATGCATATAAGGTTATTTTCTGAAAAAAATAGATTTGTAAGATAGGACGTTGTTCGTTTGGATAGCAAAAATATGATACATTGAAACTAAATATAACTAAGTCTCAAATATCTTATATAGTATAGTTTCAGTTTGAAAACTATAGTATAGTATATCAAAATCTCAAGATTGGTTAATCTCAAGGTGTTATTTTCACGTGTCATTACCACTCAATTTTCTTTTTGGAATATTTATATTTTTATCCTGCTTGCATATTTTATTAAAATATTGTAGGTATCAAGCAAACTAAAGCCTGTAAAATCTGTTTATATTGAGATTTAATGAAAATTATGTAATTGTGTAAAAATTTGAAGTGGGGGTAAGGCATAGTGATTGATCAGGGAATGATTACAGTACAGTAGTTTTTCAAAAGTTCTAATTGATTTTTTGTTCAAAAATTTTTTTTTTAAAAAAATAATTTTTGTTTATGAACTTCTGAATATTCCGATTAATTGAGATTTACAAGTAGTCGGACTTGTATTTACTGTATTTTTTAAATCAACAATAATTTATTTAAACAGTAGAATAAGATGAAATTCATTAATAATATTTGGTTAATAAATGAACTAATATCAATGAACTAATATTAATGAATAATTTACTTACGTCTATTTTGATTCACACAAAGTATGTTTTTGTTCTTTATAAAATAAAATTATTTCAAAATTTGTTCTTGTGTCTCATTCCTTTCCAAAAATATTTAAAAAAAAACAATTTATTTATTCAAATGCTTGATTGAGATAGAAAATTTTGCTATTTTTTCTTTTTTGAAATTGGATGGAGCTGGATTAGAAATGTCTTGCTTGCCAATGAACTCTAAACAAGAGGCTAAGTTCAAAAACATACTTCATTTTACATGCAAATTGTATTAAAATCTTTGAAGACAGTGCATTTTTAACTTATTTTTTCTTTGAAATTTACGCTGGCTCTGGAAATGCCTATATATTTTGTTATAGGTTTGTTACATCTTTTCTTTTTTCTCATCTTGTTTTTCCAGTTGTTCAGAATGATCAAATACCAGTTTCTCCAGATTCAGTGTCTAATTCAAGTGGAAGTAGTCCAAACTTAACAGATTTGGTTCAAACTTCTTCTAAACCTGGAGACAAAACAATATGGAGACCTCATCCCAATAATCCTGATGATTATTGTTCAACAATTCCACCACTTCAACAAATGGAATTATCTGGGCCAAATCCACCCCCAACTGTAATGGTCCCCATAGGAGTTTTGAAACGAGGTGTGTCTTTATTTTATAATAGATTATTTTATCATTTATTATAGTGTAAATGCATTGATTTATAAAAATATTAAATAAATTTATTTTTACTTTCTTATTATGGAGTATATAGTGTTGGTCTAAAAAAAGTTGATTTTTTAGCATATTCTTAACAGTTTTAAATCTAAAAATTTTAAATTTCTAAATTTTATCAAATTTAGAAAAGTCTTGTACTTAAAATTCGATTTCCCAGGATTTATTCAACCAATTTTACTCAAATTTTTGTATTTTGCCTTATAAAATGCATTCTTGAAAATTATATAAAAATTGTATACTTTACAATTCAAAATAGAATTTTCGACTAGTATGAAATACAGACGTGCCAACCCTCCGGCTTTTGGCCGGAGACTCCGGGTTTTTGAAAGTTATTTCCTCCTCCGGGATTTTCTCGAAAATCTCCGCTTTTATCACGCTGAACGAAATTTTCTTCCATATCCGTCTCAATTGCGTCACCACTCTGGCCACGCCCAGCTCTGACGCAATTCAGAGCTGGGCGTGGCCTGAGTGGTGACGTTCATCGGCCAATCAAGAGCGCTATTTCACCTTTCCTTTCTGCGTCTGCTATTAGTAGAATAAGTGCTGAGTCAGGCTGCTCTTTGTGAAAACTGCTTTGCGATTGGCTGCTTTTGGAAGCAAGAGAGTTCGCTGTATACACTGAGAAATTATTTTCGGATCTCTTTCGTTGTACTGTGAAGTGAAGAGAAGTCAATATCAGCAACTTGGAATCGGAGTTTGTTTTTATGCACGAGCGTTGATTTTTATGACTTCTTAAGTCAGTTTTCTGCGTGGATATATATTATGGCGGCGAAAAAAGTTAATAAGAAGTATTTAACTTCTTTTAACCAATCGTATTCGGAAGAATTTCCAGGAATCATTCCTTCTAAAAAAGGATCAAATTATGCCTTCTGCACGTTTTGTTCAGTGGATTTTTCAATAATGCATAAAGGCAAAGGCGACATATCCGCTCATGTTTCGAGACAGAAACATGTCGATAATCAGAGGATACGCACAGAGAATAAAAAAATTGATTTTTCTGTGAAAAAAAATGATAATTCTGCAATCCGCGCAGAGGCGCTCTTCACATCATTTATTGTGGAACATAATATTCCCATCAATGTTGCCGACCATGTTGGTCCCCTAATGCGGAATATGTTCCCAGACAGCAAGATTGCCAAGGAGTATAGCTGTGCGAGAACAAAAACAACAGCGATTGTTGGAGAAATGGCAAGATCCAACAAATTGGAAATTACTAATCTGCTAAAAAGCAACGTGTTTTCCATTTCTACTGATGGAAGCAACAAGGGTGACAGCAAATTGTTTCCAATTGTTGCTACTTTCTATGATGAGAAGAAAACACTGATTGACTCATGTTTGATATCTGTGCCTGCTTTGGAGGGAGATGCCACTGGTGTAAATATATCTAAACTCATTTTAGATACTTTGACTTCTAATGAAATACCTTTAGCAAATTGCTTAGCTTTAGGTGTGGATAATGCTCCTGTGATGACAGGGAAAAAAAATGGAGTGGCAGGAATGCTTACTAAAGACATTCCAGACTTATTTGTGCAAGGATGCTTATGCCATCTTTTAAATTTGGCAGCTGAAAAAGGGGCAAAGTGCTTGCCAATAAATATCGAAGAATATATTGTGGATATATTTTTTTATTTGGAAAAAAGTGTTAAGCGCAAGGAGCGTCTTAAGAAATTCCAAGAATTACATAGTACGGAGGTACGTAAAATATTGAAACATGTAGGTACTCGATGGTTATCTGTTGGACGTTGTCTGTCCAGAGTTTTACAGCAATGGGAGCCGCTAACTTCTTTTTTTAAAGAAGAAGTGAAGAGCACTCCAAGTGTTGCCCTTCCCAATTATGTCATTCCAAAGAAGAAGAGTAACCTCTCTCACAATGAAGCAAGAAAGATAATAAAAAAAAGAGAAGATGACAACGTTATGCCTCCTCCATCAAAAAAACCAAAGGTAGAGGACTTTTCAGCAAAGAATGAAATTCTTTCCAGAGAAGAAAGAATCTTCATGTTTTTGTCTTCAGACCTAAATAAAGCCTTTGTACACTTCTTGCTATTTATAGTTCCTCTATTTGAAAACCTAAATTTGCAATTGCAGAGTAACATTCCCAAAATTCATGTCATGGGGCAGTTAATGAATAACCTTTTCAAGGATATTTTATCTAAATTTATGCTACCCAATATAGTAAAAAGTCAATCCAAAAGCTCTTTATTGGATGTCAACTTTTATCTTCGAGAGAACCAGAAAGATGATTGTGACCTAGTAATTGGACATTCCACTTTAACTATTGTTGAGACTTTGAAAGGAAAAGACAAAGATTCTTTTTATTGCGATGTTAGGAAATATTTTGTAAAGGTTTGTGACTACATGCGACAAAAATTTCCTTATAATGATGAGGTCGTTATTAATGCAGAAGTTGCAAATCTAGACAATGTGGAAACTACATCTTTTTCCAGCATTAGATTTTTTATTAATAGATTTCCTCAGTTGTTGCAAATCTTAGGGGGTGATAAAGATTCAGTGTTGGACAGTTTGCAGTCCCAATTTAGCTCTTTGCAACTAGAATCTATTGATTGTGTTCAGTCTGAAGAGCGGATGGATTCTAAATGGGCAAAATTATCTGTTGTATTTGAAAATAAATATGCTATGTTGTCTAAATTTATGCTATCAATTTTGGCAATTCCCCATAGCAATGCTGAGTGTGAGCGCATTTTCAGTTTAGTAACCAAAGCTCACACACAGTTTAGATCTTCAATGTCAGTAAAAAACTTGGAAAACTTAATCACTGTTAAATCTAGAATTTCTGAACCCTGTTATAAGCAGAAGTTTGATGATGAATTTTTTAAAAGAGCTAAAACAGCCATTGTCAATCATAATAATAATTAAAATTTTTTTTATTAGTTTTCATTTTATAATTCCTTAAAAATTTTGATCTTTAATCTAATATATTTTTAATTAAAAATGAAGTTTCTAATTTTTCATTTAAAGAAAGGTATTGATTTAGTTTCCTAAACTTTTATTTATTATATTTTTTAAAAATAACAGGTAGTTTAGGCCATTTATTTATTTATTTATAAATAAATGATCACTAGCTTGAATCAATTTATGGTTAACTAAGCGAATTTTCTTGTTGTTGTTACTATTTAATTTTGACAATTATTTGTTATTAATATTGACAGTTGTTTAATTTTGATATATAATTTTAACAATATGAATGACTATTTGAATTATTAATTATGTACTAAATAAAGTCTCCCTTAAGACAAAAGTGTTGTTTTTAAAATTTATGTGTCTTATTTTGCATGTTTAACTCTTGCGTGATCATTTTTCTCTTCCTTACAAAAGCCTCCTCTTTTTTCATTTTCCCAGGTTGGCACGTCTGGAAATAATATAATATAAAAATGATAGGTTTTTACTAAAAGTTGTGTTTTGCATGAAATTATCTTTGGATAAAAAAAAATTTACAGTTGTGTGCAAAACTTTTTCAATTCGCTTAAAAAGTTCTCAAGGTATGGCAAAATAAGCAGAAAGTAAAATTAACATTAAGGGGTTCAAACTTTAGACCGCTCTCCTGACCAAATCACTGGAATTATATTTCCCGAATTGCGGCTACTCCTTATATTTTGGGATCAGAAATCCGAATCCGTCAGCAAAAAAAAAGGTATGTTTATTCAGAGAAAATATGTTTTTCTATCTGATTTAAAAAATTAAAATATTGTCTGTACTAATTGATTGGGATATTTGAAGTCACCCCCTCAGAGAATTGATATTGAGTCCTAGAATGTGAAGATCCAATCATTAGATCAAACGTTGTTCAGAGTGGCTAATTTCTTTTTTTTGCATGGTACCACATCATAATATATGTAATAGTACTTTGAAAGAAACAGGTTTCTGTTGAGTAACATTATTTCAAATTATGTCGATTTGAAATGACATTTTCAATTAATGTAGTATTTAACGAAGTAAGTAAGTTAATTGACATTTTTCTTTTTTGCAATTGTAGCTAATAGCATTCTTTAGTTCAGGGATGCATAACCTTTTTTGATAGTCTGTACAAAAAATGAAAGAAATCATGTTTGAAGTTAATCCTTTTTGGTTACTGTATTTTACATTAGCAGCAGCTATTTATTTTTATTAATTTTTTTTGCTCATAGTTTATTTTTTGACTGTGTGTAAAATCAATTGAATATGTTTTATGATGTATGCTACTTATTTTAAATGCGTCTTGTTTAGGCAATAAACGTCGCAGAGAGCCGAAACAAGTTATATTTTCAGATGGTATAAGACCTGGTGGTGATTTAACAGATTTAACAGAACCATTAGAAACTGTTCCAGTTTACAGACGTTCAGGACGCAAAAGAATGGATAAAATAGTTTCTGGTTAGTATACATCATTTGAAAGTAGAATAAATTGAGAAGAGTAATTTTCTATCGGAAATGATAATTTTCCAACTTTACTTTTTTTAAAAATTTGATTTTAAGTTACTTATAATTTTTCTTTCCTATATTTAAACTAAAAAAGAAAAAAAAATGTGAGCATTGTAGCATCCAAGGTTTAATAGCAAGAAAGATATTATTGCTTATATTATTTATCTTTGTTTCAATCATCTGAACATTTTTCTATGAATCTCAAATTTCTAATATATTTCACTTATGGCTGACATACTGAATGTAAATTTTTATTTAAATCTCTGTTTTGATGACTATCTAAACATTATAATTTGCTTCTTAATTTTCAGATGATTCTATTGAAGCTGATTCTCCTTCTCTAAAGGCTCAACAGAAGTCTAGTCAGAAAAGATTTTTGGTATCTGATGGTGAAGGAACATTGCCACCAATTGTGCTACAATTAGGTACATTTCTGAAGTTTAACTGAGTGATTTTCTTTAAACGTTAATGTTTGCCTAAAACAATTGGGAAAAATATTTAGCAATTTTTCATGGTATGAATATAATGTTTAAAAAGAAAGCACACAAAGTAAAGAATAGATAGTTCGAAGTTTTCGTGTTTAATTATAAAATTATTCTTTTACCTAATACAATGAAACTTAATAAACTTATTGTTAATATATTTTTTTTATATGTAGTTGTATTAAATTTTTGTTATTTATGTTAAAGCAAAAAAATTATTAAACAAAAATGGTTTAATCCTAATAAATATTAAACATTTTACTAAAACCTAATTTTAAAAATGATTTCAATTTAAAAAATTACGAAGTTAATATTTTTGTTTATGTTTGAATTGTTTTTTTTTATTATTTTGATTTTTTTTATTTATATTTATTGTAATTTGATAGTACATGGAATGATATTGATACTTTTGTTTCTTGTAAATTAAATTAACATAATCCTTAGAATTGATCTTTTGAAAATAGCATATTTGAATTTTATCAGATTAAAATAATTTTGCTTCGTAAATGTTCTTAAGAGACATTATTAAATATTTTTAATTCCATGTTCTAATTTGTATTTTTGTTACCTTTAATTGCTGGGTTATTTTTTTGTGGTTTGTTTAATAATTCAGTTCTTTTCTGTTGCTTTTGTTTAATTTGGCTTATTAAAAAATATGCAAAGCATTGCTTCGATAAAACAATATTATTTTTAAGGAAGAATTTTACACTCATTTTGATCTTTTTGACTATATTGAGTAATAAAGTATTAACCTGTATAAATCATTGGAAGTGTTCGGTAGAAGTCATGAAAAATCATGCATTGAAAAACTCTAGATTTAGCAGATACTCAGTTTATGCTATTTCTAATAAATATGTGATTTTATAATTTTATTTATATTTTCTTTCAGGCCATGAAAAGGATGAAAATGTTAATTGGAACTATGTTTTTCAATTAATGCAAGGTAATATATGTTCTTATTTTCATTAAGCTGGTAAGAAAATAGGTAACATTAAAGTCATGTTTTTCTAAAATTGGCAATGGTAAAAACATTTTGAAACAGGTTTTTTTCCAGTACATGTTATTTATTAAAGAAAGAACAATATTAATTATTATGTTGAAAAAGTTGTCTTTGTTGAGCTTTATTGAATAGCCCTTCAATAAATTATTGGTTCATATGAAAATTTTTCTTTCAAGTGTGTAATCTTCACGTGATTCAGTTGCTAATTGCTAAGTAATTCGTAACTATATATATATATATACAGGGTGATTCATGAAAGATGGGCAAAATTTTAGGAAGTGATAATACACACCCAAGCAAACAATTTTTGTCAAAGAATGCATGGTCAAAAACAAAACGCGAAGCTGTTAGAGGGCGTCAAAAGTTATGTTCTTATATGAGGCAAAAACATACAGAACTATGGAGTTAAGTTATAAAAGCAAATTTAATGGCATGTGATTACAATAAGGGTTCAAAACAGTGGCCGGCAGCAGCTGTGCACGCAGTACAATGGCGAAAAAAAGATTGGCAAACATTTTGAAACGCACCAGGCATATCACGAACTTCAATATATCTGAAGAGAACACATATCCAATATAGCTTCTTCCACCATTCCGCCTGTCCTTACACGACCTGCATCTGACAGGGCTGAAAGAAAGGATACAGCCTCACACAACTCTCGATGCAAGCGCTGAAATGTTTTACGGTTGGGCAACTGCCTGTTGGGAAATCGTTCTCTGTACTACCGTTGAGCTTCTAAGCTATTTCCATTCGCAGCTCCATAAAAAAAATGCATATCGGCTTTTTCCTTATTAAAAAATATCTTCAGATGCGTTACTACCGCCATTGACAATGCACTCTTGAATCAGCAGCTTTTATGTATGAATCGTGACGAAAATTTGCATATGAGCTCTTCTTTCCATAACATGCAAATAATAACTTGCAACAGGAATGGAGCTTTCACGTTTGCATGAAACCAACTTTCCAACTTTCACCCTGTGTATATATATACACAGAATATATATATGAATCACCCTGTGTGTATATATATACACAGGGTGATTCATAAAAGATGGACAAAATTTAAGGAAGTGATAGTACACACCCAAGCAAGCAATTTTCATCAAAGAACGCAGGGTTGAAAACAAAGCACAAAGGTGCTGGTGCATTTGGAAAGTTGTTTCATGCAAACGTGAAAATATATATATATATANTATATATATATATATATATATATATATAAAAGTTTATGGGATATAATATTTTCTTAAAAATATCTTCTTAAATATTAAGCTATTTTCACTCAGTTTGGGCAGTATTGATTTAAATGACATTTCTGAATAATTTTTACTTACTGAAAGAATGTTAAGATACTGATGCTTAAGAAACAACTTTTATAAACTTTCATATATTACCAGATATAAATATTTCAATGATGTTACAGTAGTTCATATATATATTTTTTAATGTAACTTTAATATCTCTAGTATTTACACTAATATCAAAATATTTTATTTTGTTTTTAAAAAAATTGAATGGGATTTTTTTTTTTTGAATTGTAATTGCTAACCACAAAATTTGTTATTCTTTGTTGAAACATGGCGCTCCCCCTCCTCGATCGAAAATTGGGCAAAACATTGCCGTAATTTGTCATTTTAGTTGCCAAAGTTATGAAATGAAATGTCAAATATATGATAAATAAATTTAAAATTGTTTGAAAAATACTATTCAATGTTTACATGTATAACAATTTATCATACTTATAGTAATTAGTTATGTTAATTAATTATTTATTTTTGCATGTTACTGTGTATTTAAATAAACTAAAAATGTAACTAGGTTTATCAAAATATAACAATAAAAAATAAATTTTGAAGCAGAATATAAAAAAGCATTATATAAAAGAGCAGAATATAAAATGTTGCTAAGCTGGAGTATTGATTTTTGCAAAATCATCGTCAAGTTCTATGAAAACCCTTTTAGTACAAAAATACTGACTTTAACTTTTAAGGGTATTTTTTTATAATGAAAAAGTGTTCATCTTACTTAAATTGCTGAATTTCATGTTTATTTTTGTCTGAATATTGCACTTAAAATTCACTTTTTAACTAAGCATAGCTTTTATAAAAGTTGTTTATTTATAAAAAAACTTTAAATCTGTGTAACCTATCTATTTTGATATGTGTACATTAGATTTAATTAACACATTTCTTTTGTCTAGATGAAGAGCAGAAGGCCGTAAAGTTTATTCTTTTGAAAAATTTACATATCCTCGTAAAATTAACTAAATGTAAGTATAATTAAATTAAGATAAATGTTTATGATTTTTTATTTTTTTATAATCTAATGTTGAAATTATTTTAGTGGACTGCTGTTATGGAAAAGAGTGTTGGTGTTTTACTAGCTGTGGATTTTGTTCAGTTGGACAAGATGAAGTTATGATTATCTTAGAGAGAATTCCTGAGGAAACTTCTATCCCTAGAGATATATTTAAATTTTTTACGCTTGTTTATGATAATGCATGTAAAGGTAATAAAAAATGCTGTTTTTTTTACAAAAAATTTAATTTCCATGATTTCTTTAAAATTTGTAATTTTTTATTTTTAGGGACCACAGTTGAAGATTTAGGTCATGTTATTTTCCCTGAAAAAATATTAGATAGTACGGATCACCGAGGATTTCTCTTTGTCCGTCCAACTTTTCAGTGTCTAAGTAAATTGACTGTCCCATCGGCTCCTTATTTAATTGCCATTCTTATTCATAAGTGGGAAGTCCCATGGGCTAAAGTTTTTCCTTTAAGATTGATGCTACGATTGGGTGCAGAATGTAGATGTAAGTCCCAACTATACAAACTATTTTTGTGAAATGTAACCATTTTATGTTTTTCTGATGAAAGATTTATTTCTTATCTAGACTATCCCTGCTCATTAGTGAGTGTTCGCAATAGAAAACCGGTATTCTTTGAAATTGGACAAACTATAATGAGTGTTTTAGCAGTAAGTGTTTCTATGTTTTAATTACATATCTTGCAAAATCCTGTTAATTCAACGTAATTGTCATTGTTTGCTATCAATTATGTCACCAAAAAATCACATTTTTAAATGTAATGTAACCTGTATCTACAGAATTTGAACGATACAAACTTTTTTTTCTTGTAGATCTCTTTGTAATTGTGGTATATTAGAATGCATTTTCCTAAGATTTTTCAATCTGGAATTTCAGTTGTAAATTTCTTGTGTTGAAAGCTGCAGGGATGTCAGTTGTTCCCCTTTCGTCAAAAATTTTCGTAACTGGTAGCGACTAAAATTAAAAGAAGTTTGGTTAGTTTTGCCTTGACTTTAAAAGACTCGTCACAAAATATCTGGTAAAAAGTGTCGTTTTAATGGTGGCCAAACTTAAAAACATATTTAGGAAACTGAAATTATTCCTTTAAATGATAATTTACTATCACTTAATTTTTTAATCACTATAAATTTTTCCAGCAATGCAAAGAGAGTTAGCATCTCTAAAGCTGATGCATATTCACTTATTTTTTTAATGATGTTTATAAGGGTTGTGTTTTCAGACTGTAAAGTTTTATAAATGCTATAACTTTGCTGGAAGCGTATATTATATTTGATGAGCTTATGGAAGAACCAACTGAATGACACTTAGGTGAATTTTTGTAAACGAGTGCTAAAGTTCATACGTTCCTCCCTTTTGTTTTTTCGTTTAATCTTAGTTTTTAGTATGTTTGTGAAGACATAACTCACAGTATTTTTGGGGGTCTGTTAATTTGATTCTAACTCTCTTAAATTAAGATTTTAATGATTTATGTGTGTAGCATTTGCTTGTTTTCATGGACAATTTTTAATGTTTTTCATTGAATATAATTTTGTTTGAAAGGATAAAATAAATATGAATATATTTAGGCTTATATTCATTTTTAACAATTTTAATTTGAAACAAACTGGTATTTAATTTTCTCTACCCTTGTTAGTCCGAAAAACCAATTAAAAACGAATCAGATGCAGTGTGAGCACAACTTATGTGGAGTAAATGTTTCACCAGTATGTATCCCTTTAAAGGGCAAGAATTCGGTAATTTTTTAATTGAAAAAAGTACCGTAATTTCGCTGAGAAACGCCACCCTGGTATATACGCCGCGCCCTCGAAAATAGGCTGAAAAGAAAAAACTTTTCAACGAATACGTCGCACCGAATCTTACTATACTAACTCAGGTATTGATTAAAGACATGCTCTAAATGTGCATATGTATATAATTTAAATAGTTAAATAAATACCAATAAAAGGATATTGAATATACAAAAAAAATAGAAACAATCCTAGTATATAAAATAGATTTCAATAACTTTCTGAGTAAAATTAGGCATTTTCTAATTTTAATGTGAAGTAACCATTGAAATATAAATAAAATAATTAATATATTGAAAACCATTAAAATAAATATGAAAATTGTTAAAAATAAAACGATCTTACTTTTAAATCAGTAATCCAAAATCCTGTTTTAGAATTAAACAATAAATCCAAAAAAATTTTGTTCAAAGAATAATTTATTTAGATATCACCTATCACTATATATTCATATCACTGTACTTAAATAATTCCTTAAAATCCAAACTCTCTGTATCAGAGCAAATTAGGTTTACTAGTTCATTGTTTATTTCTGGTTCATCTCCGTCACTCACACTTTTGGTTTCGTTTTGTCCAGTGATGATTTCTGCTTTTTTGAAGCCATTTATCACAGTTTCTTTTTCTCTTTTAATTGCTGACAGCATAAACGCAGCGGTATAATTTTCCCTCTTAATGGGAGGCATTTAAAATGGATAACTTAAATACAAGTTATGTCAAAACGAAAATATTATAAACGAAAGAAAATATTAACGAAAGAAAAATATCAATAAAACAAAAACGCATCAGAATCGAAAATAAAACGATAAAAAAAATAATGAGCTGAGGAAGATGATCGAAATCAGACAGAAATATGAGCAATGAAAAAGAATAAAAAAAATGTAATGCTCCCAAGCATTTAAAACAAGTTTCTATATTAAGCATTTCCTCCCCCTATTTTCGCTTCTCAAATCAGGTTTCTTTTTTTTTTTTTAACTGACTCCGCCTAGGACTGTCTTTCTTTTATCCCTGTCTAAAATTCTCACACATTGCTTTTTCCCCTCTTCACTGACCCTCAGTTAAAAGTTTGAAATTCTTCTTGAACATTTAAATTGTAAGATTATTCAATGTTATTCCAAGTTCATCAGCACCCTTTATTCATCAAACATTCACATGTTTTTAACAACTAGCTGAAGAAAAAAGGGGAGTTGAGAGGCATCCATGACAAGTGGAAAAGACTAGACATTTCCTGGAAAAAACTGAAGGGGGGGGAGGGTTTGTTTTACAGTTGATGTTATCACTGGCCCCACCCTGATTTCTTTCATTCATTCCCCCACCCTGATTTCTTTCATTCATTCCTTTCTGATTTATGCTTCTCCACTCCACGCCCATTTCCTACACTCAGCAGTTGTTCATATGGCAGAAAAGGAAAGAGACTTTGTTCTCTTGTAGTTAGTGGTTTCCAGAAAGTGATTCCAAGAAAGGATTGGGGAGTGTGGGGGGAGGGGAAAATTCCAGGTGTGCTTGACCATTCTTTGGAGTAACATTAAGCATAAAAAAATAAATAAAAAGTGCTAGTAACAGGTGGAAAGAATGATGATGAAATTTCTAGTGGGGTTTCTAAAAAGAAAAATTTTTTAAAGAAGGAAAAAAAAGGCATACTATATAGGCCACCCCCTTAGATACGCCTTCCTACTAAATTTTCAAGTTTTAAATCAATAGCGCTTAAATCAATATTCGGATATAACACTTAATATTTTAAACGAGCGCACACATCTCAAGGAATGTTATATGTAGTGTGCAGTGACTGTAGGGCAGTGTGTCTGAAACACAAACTAATGCAAACCAGAAACAAAAAAAAATTATATGTTGATGCTGTTTAAGGGTTATTTTTCTGATCTTTTTTAGTTATTGACTCGTAAAAAATATAAATTCCTCAACGTATGGAAGCTGCTGTTTCAAGATTTTTATTTTCCCCAATTTTTTTTTCTATCCACGCTTTACTGTTTGATGCCAAGCTAGAGATATTTCAGGGTTGTTTATTGACTATTTGTCCCCAAGTCACTTAGCCTTTTCTTCCACTGAGTATCTACGGAATGAATAGATTTAGCAATATAAATGGCCGACCAGGTGGCCGAGTGGTTAGCGTGTCTGACTGCAGAGCCATTGGCCGTGGGTTTGAATCCTGCTCAGGGCATGAATGTTTAAGCTCTCATTCTGTTATGAATTCTTGAAATGGTGAATAACATGTCACAATAGACGCATCATAACTTTTTTTTGGCGCCCCCTCTGATTTTTTTTTCTGCATATGCGACACGCTATATGTAAGCAAAATCATTGCTACTTTTTGTAAATGCAATTAATGAAAATTTTGTGGAAAAGTTTTAAATGTAAATTTTGATATAATATTCCTTCACTGATAAATTGTTCATTATCAAAATGTATTGTTTTAGTTCTACGATTTTCTTTTGTAGGATTTACGAAATTATCAGTTTACTCTCCCTGTTATTCCTGGTGTTGTTGTTCATATGGAAGAAAAGAAAACTTGTGTTAACATTCCTCGCAATCGCTATGATAAGGCAAGTTTGATGATTATTTTTTGAAAAATTTTCAAATGTACTTTGTGGGTTCTCTTTACTAGCTTTTATATGTTGAATTATTATTAGCCCTCTTGTATCTATACATAAATTTTTATTTGCACATTTCTACTTCTCAAGTGCTTTCTTATGTACAGTGTGCAGAAGTCTTTATCCATCAAAACAAGGTATGTTTTTTTCAGAGAAAGTGTATCTTACAATTTTTTATTGTAACTGAACGTCTGAACAGATCTAAGATATTCTTTTGAAACCTTTAATATTGCATTTTACTATCTGAAAATCAATTATTTTGTTAAAAGTTATTCAAGGTGTAACTTTTTTTGTTTTGTAAATAGCACAGCAGGTTGACCAACAAAATGCTGTGTGACCACAAATCAAGCATGTTCACCACAAATATTATAATTTTTATAAAAATATAAGTGTTCTGAGCCCTAAATTATTTTTATCGGTCAACTTGGTGATATATTTCCAGATATCAAAACATGATTTTTTTTATCATATCACATAATTCAAAAATTCATTAAAATAAATTATAACAAAAGAAATTGCAATGCTCAAAGAATAGAAATAAAAAGAGAAAATAAATATTTTATTGAGTAATATTTATTCAAATTAAGTATATTAACTAAATTAAAACAAAACGATGCTAAAAAAGATAGAAAAAATTAGAAACAAAATTACAAACTATGAACCACTACATTCCTCCACTTTTTGAATTATGCAAGTTACAATAATATTGTACTAAAATATTGGGGTTTTAAATACCATGTGGAAATGCATGATGCTAACAGCTCAAAAAACTGTCTAAAAATAAGTTTTACAATCTAATTGACACACAGAGTAAAAGAGTGATTTAAAGGTGTGATTCGAAACTCATGAGTCGTAATAAGTCTAACAAGACTGTAAAAAGGCACGTGGAAATCAATAGTAAGAACTGCCAATAAGAGGACTGAAATGTAATTTAGATGTACAGTACCGAACCCATTATCCGGAAATCAGAAGACCGGAAAACCAAAAAACTGGAACAAAATTCGATAAATTTTCCCGCCATTTTTTAAAAAAAAGACTTATTTTTCCTCATAAGATTTTAGGATTTTTCTTTCTTTTTTGAAAGATGTTTACCTTACCATCATTTTATAAATAATCATTAGTGTATTACTTCATTGTTTTTTCTTCTTTTTAAGATTATTTCCAAAAACTTTTTTTTTAGTTGGGTTTAACAATAAAAAAGAAACAGCTTTTTGTAGCGATTCAGAAAGCCGGAAAAATCAGTTATCCGGAATAGCGAGGGTCCCAATCGTTCCGGATAATCGGTTCCCTGCTGTACTATGGTAAAAAATTAAGTGATTTTTCAAATTCGAAACTTGAATATCTTAATATTGTACTAAAAATAATTTTAAAATCACATGGAATTCCAAATAATAGCAATAATTGCCGAAAAAGCATTAAAAAATCACATAGATTTAGGATGGCATCTGTGCAAATTGAGCGTCAAAAAGGGATGACTCAAATGTATGGTTCAAAATTTTTGATATTTACTATCAGAGTTACTACATTACCTGGAAAACTGGAAAAAGTAAGAGAATTTTGTAATTTTGAGTCAAAATCTGAAAAAGCCAAAGAGTTTGATTTGGCGTGCGCCAAGCATGCAATATTCGTGGCAGCATTTTACAACATAAGAGTTTCGTTTTTACCCATTTGTCAGGGAGCTGAATTTCAAATAGCTGTAGCATGTTATGGTATTACTGTTTGGGGGTACCATGAGGCTGTTTTTACAAATTATAATTTTGTGAATGGACTGTTCTTACGGATTAGAATTTTGTGAATAAGCCGCTTTTTACAATTTGAATTTTGTTAAGGTTTCAGGCCACTTTTTAAAATTTGAATGTTGTGAAGAGGCCACAAAATGACCGCAATTTCCTCCTGGATAGACCAGGGTTGGCATAGTATTTACCCTGTGTCGTATGGTATTTGCCAATATTTACCATGGTTTTTACAGTCTATATAAAAAAGAATTTTCCCCACGGTATTAACTGTTTTGTAAAAAGAATCCTTTTTTACATCCTCAAAAAAATTTCTTATTGATTCTGTTATTTCTGTGAAAATCTTAAAATCCTACATAAAGATAGTATTGAAACAAGAATTTGGCACATTTAAAATAGTCTTATATTGTTCTAAAAATTTTGCAAGGATCGAAATTTCCTTGATATTCCTAATTAAAAAGTCTGACTTCTTTAAATGTTGATTGCACTGTTAATTTGATGCGTAAGCATTATATATATTTGCCTTTATGGTTTGTTTACTTTTGTTATTTTCTTTTTAGATAATGAAAGTTTTGAAAACTAATAACGTTGAGCACGTACTTCCTCTTGGTTCCAATTTTAGCACAGAAGCTGATTCTCATTTAGTTTGTATGCAAAAGGAGGAAGGAGAGTATCAAACACAAGCAATTAATATTGAAAATACTGTAAGAAAAGGTAAATATGCTTTTAAAAGGGTTACAAATAATTTTGAAAAATATGTATCTGTTAAAGTCCTTGAATAGCAATGAAGAATAATTGTTCTTCAAAAAATAATTTTTAACTTAAAGTCTGTATTTTTGACAGCAATGTACAGGTTATACTGAATTTTAAATGTTAGGATAAATAATTCTTCATAGGGTTAGATTGTAAAAACCATCTATTGGGTGTTTAGCCGTAAATTGTACAATTATCTTATAAATAAAATTGTTTAAATAATATGGATTTTTTTATTTTGTCTTGTTTTGTTGTAACTTATTTGCATTTTAGGCATGAAAAATATTACTAATCCAATGGACTGGGGCCAGCTTAATTAATTTTTATGCTATTGCTACTTACTTAATTATTCACTTTAATTAGACCAACTGCTCTGTTTATCTAGCTACAAATAGTTTTATTACTTTTTGAATTAAAAGCATACTCAATTTGTAGTGCTGAAATGTAATATAGAGTTATAGTTTCTGTGCACTTTACATTTATTTTTTTATACATTTTTAGAATCTAGCTACTGAGTTTTTAAAAATATAAAATACTGGGTAAATGTAGCATGTCAAATAAATCAATTTTAACTTATGTGAAGCACATTTGAAAAAAGAAGTATTATACTAAAGCTGTATATTAATTCAGTAATCGATTTTAATATCATTATTTACTTATAATTGTATTAACATTGTTCACTTATATTTAAATCATTTTTGATTAATTGTAAATTTTTTACTTCTGAAAATATTTAGTTATTCTTTTGAGCTCTTATCTTAAAAGTTTTATAAATTTCATTTTGTTATAAGCCTTTCGCTCAAATATTATTTTATTTATAAATAAATTTTTGTTGCAGTTACTGGTGCAAGTTTTATAGTTTTTAGCGGGGCTTTGAAGAGCTCGTCGGGTTTATCTGCTAAATTTAGCATTGTGGAAGATGGCCTTCTTATACAAATTCCTCAAGAAACTATTGTTTCTTTACATGTGGCTTTAAGAGAAATGAGAGATTTGACTATTGAATGTGGGCAAATAGGTGCAGCTGAACCTGAAGAGATTGTTATAGTGCAGTGGACTAGAGATGATAAAAAATTTAACATTGGGTAACTTAACCTCTTTTAAATGTTTTATTATAACATTTTGAAACAAATACATGTTTTTACTAAACTTTACTGATTATCTGTATAAGTTATCAGTCAAGTAATTGACTTAATTAGTAATTTACTTTTTAACTAAATTTAAAATGGTCTAAAATGTTTATTGACAAACTTATTGACATTTTGTTAAAATTATGCTACATTGTTTGCTTGTAAATTCTCTGCATAATTTTTAATTATCTTAAATATATTTTAAGTATCTTATTACAAACTGTTGCTCAAATCATTTTCTTACCCTATAAATTCATGGATGAAATTAAATTTTCTTCTTAGTTTCATGTATTTTAAATGTATTTAAGATTTTAAAATGCATATGCAGTAGAGCCCCGATTACCCGAACTGCTTGAGACCAAATGTGGTTCGGATAGTTGGAAAGTTTTTTAAAATCTGGTTTAAATGATTATTATTTATGCACTAACTTCCCTTCACACTTTTTCTAGGCTTAGGACTGGCAGTACTATCTAAAATAGCTCTGACGTGTTTAAAAGTTTTTTTTTCTATTTTTAAATATTTTTTTTTTAAACTTTTTCATTTTGAAATACTTTTATCATATTAGAGCTTTTTATAATTTTTTTTGTCAATTACTGATTTTACCACATTTTTCTTTATTTTCCATTGCAAAAGAAATCCAGCAAAGACTTTTGTATCGAAGAAGATGCTCTTTTTTGAGCAGCCATATCCCTTTTTTTTTTTAAATAAATCAAATGAACTGGATCAGCAACATTTTGACGTTCTAGCCAATTCATTGCAATATCTAATGGATTGCATGCTTCTATATGAGAAGTTTCACTATCTTGAACTTGATCACCTACTTCTTCTTCTTCGTATGTGGAGTTCCGATTTTCATTCAAAATTTCAGCAACAATTTCATCATCATTTAAAATTTGAAATCCTGGGTCGTTTTCAGTGTCTCAACACCAGTCTTCTATTTATTCTGCTGTATAGCCTGGCATCTTTTCATCCGGAAGATCTACTGGTTCAGAAACTTCAGTTTCACTTGTTTTTCTGTTAAGAATTTTGTTCCAAGATTTAAGATTCCAAGCACTGTAATCACTAATCATTAACCATAAGTGACAACTATCCACCCCCCAATTGTAGATCATCAGCACTTATCTATTCATAAACTCCTTTCGCATTCCAACCATTGTAGACTGTCAAAATGAAGCTCATATTCTTGGAATATAATTTTCAGTTGAAGAGAGCTAAAGGGGTATGTAGGTTTAACTGTATAGCAATTCATGTAAGCTACTACAAGAAAGCTGCTAAATAAGGTTGTAAATTAAATATGGTCTTCAGTTGTAGTGGATATCACTTATTCTTCTAAATTTAGAAAAATTGTCGATAAGTTAAGAAGTATTCTAAACTTTTTTTAAAATAAAGTGAATTCGGACATAGTTCAGATAATTGGATGTTCGGATAATCGGCGCTCTACTGTAATACATAATTAAGTTTTTAAAGTAATTGTGTAATTATTATGTATTGATATAATCTATAAGATTTATAAACATTTTGTGTTATGTGTAAACAGGGTAAGAAGTCCAATTGATGGAAAAAATTTTGAAGGTGTATCAAATTTAAGAATACATACATCAACTGACTATGCTGGAGAAAACTATTTAATTCGTTGGACCGAAATTTTTTTTATTGAAAGTGAAGAAAATGTGTCTTCAATGCAGTAAGTATAAATGTTATAACTATTCCTAATGTTATTTATGTTCTAACTGTGCACTTAGCTCAACATTATTTGCCAATTTGATTTATTTTTGTCTCTAATAGGATTTTACCAGCAAAAACTCTTCCTTTGTTAATAATTGTACATCCATGTAAAGTGAAATAAAATACTCATTTCTTATTTTTACAAAAGAAAAATAAATTAGATAGAGGTGTGTTTTGAAGTACAGTTTATGCAATAAATTGTTGCACATTAAAATTAGATTATTAAATATTAATGAAGTTTTACACTGAATTTTACAAAATACGGTGTGTAGAAAATGTAATTACTTTTATGTTTTTGATGAAAAATGGGAAAGTTTTTGTTTTAAATATACAAGCAAATCCAGAAATAAGATCATTTTTAGTGTAAAAAGTAAGGAAAAAATTTTGAACTACATGTCCTCTACATTTATATATGAAATCTATGTGCAAAATTAAACATTTCTTTAAAATTGGCCCTTTAATTAGAGCTTGTGAGCAAGCAAGGTGTTTGGTTTTCTGTCTGTATAAAAAATGATTTTTTCTCTCACTCAAGGTTTTGATAATAGATAATATTTTCTAAGGGTTTTTAGTAATTTAAGACAATGGTTAGTTTTGAATAATTTTTGAAAAAAAAGATACATATGTTACGTAAAATTGAAAGCAACTTTGCTAAGTAAATTATTAATTATAGTTTATTCCATTTGAAATAAGCCATCAATATTTTTTACCTAATTTCAATGTTAAAATGTTTTGTTAATTTAAGAAATATATATAAAAAAAGTTAATTTATCTTTTATTCATTCGTTATACTTTGACATTGATTCTTTCATTCCCTTATATTTATTTCCATTAAAAAATGAACACTATGAAGCTATAGTTTTTTTCTGTGTAATAAAACTAAGATATAAATAATACAGATAAAAAGAAATTGCCTTTTTTAAATGATAATTGATGCAGGCATACATTGGGTGAAAATACATACAACACATACAAAATATCGTAGTGAACATTCAGAAATTTACTTAAGTGATTAAGACCAAATTTTCAAGTGAGAATCTCAATGAAGAGCAATCTTGGTCGAGTTGGACGAGACAATTTTGTTCAGGCTTCGGTCAAGACTTTTGGCCTTTTTCTTGTGCTTAATTTAGTTTGATTCTGTTTTCCCACTTAGCAATTTTTAATATATTTCCTTTGATGCAACTACTCCATGCATTTAGATAAACACCTAAAATTCGAGAGATATACATCAAAAACTGAATTTTGTTATTCAATGTTTTAGACTGGATTTTTTTTATAGTATTGTTTATTTTGAGCTTTAATGCTAACATACTAAAAACTATCCTCCTGAAATTTACTACTATGAGCTGTGAATGGCATGACAGCTCAGGGTAGCTTTCTCCAGAATTTTCTTCCATACCATACTTTTTATATAAAGTGAAAATACAGTCATATCCTGTTAAGATGAAAGCATTAAACACTAATTTTTGCTTGAGATGTAGTAAAACAGTTTCCCCTTTACACTATTTTGAAAACAATAATAATTGCCTCTTTTAATACAGGCATAAAAACTTACTTTTCTAAAAACTTAATAAATATTGCACTTAAGAAAAAAAAATCCTCATTGTAACTTTTTCCATCAACCTTCATCATTGAAACAAGTTTATCGCTTTTCCTGAAACAAGCAAGTAAGGATAGTGCTCTTGGAATTGTGATGAGGGTTTGTCGCTAGTTCACAACAGTTTGCAATTGGTGACATCACCAACTGGACATGTGAGGGGATAATGGGGTGAGTGGCACAAACCTAGGTGGTGAAAGAGTAGAGAATTGAATTCCTTACCTTCTGCATTCCTCTTGTGATTTTATAAACAAATATAGAATAGAAAATTTTAAATAAATATTAATAAATTAAATAAATTGAACATTAATAATTTTAAAGTCTATCTTCACATACATTTTACTTTTTTACTAAATACATTAATTTCTCTTTTAATATAATTTTAATTCTTAAATTTCAGGAATTTGTTTTTTAAATCATCAGCCTTTCACTGTTTTATCAGTTGTTACAAATTTTGTCTTAACACGAAATAGATTTTTTTACTCTTTGATTTCATCTGAATTAGGTTTCACCCTATTAAAAGTATACCACTTATTCTTTTATAACATGATGTGACATAAAAATTATGTTATTTCTAGAAACACATGTATTTTAATGATAAATGAGAAATTTGCCATAGATATATTTGTAAAAAATTTCCCTATCAGGAAAATGTTATTGAAATGCAAACTTAAATAACAGCAATTATTTTAGCAATTTCAAACAGATATTTAATTCTTACAAAAAAAAAAAGAAAAAAAAACTTATTCAGCTAGGTTACTATATTTTTCAAGTGAGACTGCTTCAAAAGAATCTGTGCCCACTTTAGGAATGCTGAGTCATTTTTTTTTGTCACTTCAGCAATGATTTTAAACGCTTTTCAACTGTAATGTCATAAGTTAATATATAATAATTAAGTTTGTTGTTTCAAGTTGTTCCCCTTTCATTTTTTTCTGTTCAAAACATGTAGCCATTTTACTGATACTGGGAGCAAAAATTACTTTTGATAGATTTCTGTATGAAAAATTTTCCCTTTTAATTATAAATACTATCTTTATTTCATTCCATGCATGTTTAATTATTTGACTACTTTTCCGACAGTAAAAATATTCTTTGAAGGAAAAATTGATTTAAAGGAATGATTGCTGTTGGAAAATATAAATGATAATCGTGTCTTTGATGTCTTAATATTATTTGAATAATGAGATCCGAAATGTTCTCTTAACATGTAAATTAAAATTGAATTAGATAGAAAAAAACCAAAAATGTTCTGAAAATCTTCAGTTCCATATGTTAATCCATTAGTACTGGTTTTGTTACATTTTTTAAAATTGTAACAGTTTATGGCTTTTATAAGTTATGAAACATGTGATTTGTCAACATTTAATTACAAATTATGGAAAAGTCTGTTCATTTTTGAAAAAAATCTTTAAAAATTCTTTAAAGTCTCTTTTTATAGCATGTAGTATATCTCTTTCTACACACACATACACAAATATATATATGGGTCATTCTCACAAAAACAGTCATTTTCATGTCCCCAGTATATTTTATGTTTGTTTTACAGCTTACGAAGAAAAAAAAATTCAGGGAAAGTGTCCTTCAGAATGCAAGCTAACAAAAGAATAAAAATAAATTATCAATTTTTATTTTTTATTTATTTTAGGTAATTAAAATATACCAATATGTCATTCCCTCACTTGTCCCTACTGCTGATTTAAAAAAAGAAAAAAATTGTTTCTGAAATAAAAATTTTTTTTTTAAAAATTCGTGTTTTTTATTTCAGAATACTGAAATATAGAATTCAGAAAATCAATTTTAAATTTAATTTCTGATAAAAATATTAACACAGCACTATTTTAAACTTTGTCCCCAGTGTTTCGCGTCATTCCCTCACAACAATGTTCTTATCACCTGCAATCTTCTTAGAATAAAAATATTTTAATAAAAACTTCAGAAGTTAACAACTGGCATCATAGAACAAAATTGCAGTATGTTTCCATCTTCAACTTAAAGAAGCTTTGCTGTGGAATAAATTTGAATGAATCAAACCAGGTAAAATTTTTTACATTTGTCATTCCCTCATGTCATTTTTTAGAGTAAAATAAAATACAACTTCATCGAGAAAGTGGATAATTATATGTTGCTTTCTTGTATGAATATAATTGTATGTGATTGACTTCAGAAATTAATTAGGCCTAACTGTTATTTTTAAATTTTATTGAATTCGTCATTCCCTCACTAGTGTATAAAGTGAGGGAATGACGCTGAAGTGAGGGAATGATTCAAGATGAGTATATTATTAAATTTTTTTTTGTTCAATCGTGCCAGCCAATTTTATTTCCCAAACCTGTAAAAACTATTAAATATATAAGACTAAATTATAATAAATATTAGATATACTTAGTATGTTATCATTTTCAAACTTTAGGTAGATGTAACTTAGATAAAAACATGTATTAAAATAAAATATCATTCCCTCACTATTAGTGTCATTCCCTCACTTTTTAAATAGTGAAAATAATTAATTTACTTATTAATTAATTTGAAAAATAAATTAAAAAATTAATAAATTAATTTATTAAATTAATTAATTTATTTATTAAATTAATTAATTTATTTATTAAATTAATTAATTAATTATTAATTATTATAAATTAATTAATTATAAATTAATTATTTAAAAAATTGATTAATTTAAATATTAAGTATAATTTATAAGATATATACTTTCTTTATAATGTCATTACATATTTTTAATAGTATAAAAAGTTTCAGAGCTTTTTATTCACTTTACTTTTTTGGGATTTTATGAACTGAAAAATGACAGTTTTCGTGAGAATGACCCATATATATATTTAATTTTGCTAGCTTATTGCTTCATTTTTTTTTATAGAAATGAAGTTGCTGATCCTTGCCATATGGCTGAAACTGTTGCTCAGTCTTGCTGCATGGCACTTACACCTTATCTTGATCAGTTAGCTAAAACAGAACTAACAAAAATTGGTCTTAGGATTACATTGGATACAGAAAGAGATAAGGTAAATTCAAGCAACAATGATAATTAAAAATGCTTTATATTACTTAATTTTCTATTGATTTTTGTAAGAATATCATCTTTGTGTGTAAAATATTGTCATTAATTTTAATTGTAAATTGGTATTAGATTTTTATATAGTTCGGCTACAAAATTGCCTCATAATACAGTACGACCTCGAAAATCCGGACTTCTGAAATCCGGAAATCTCTAAAATCCGGACTCATACGTCCAGTTCCTCAGAAAAAATTTTCAAAAGAAAAATTTTTTAAAAAATCGCTTAAAATAAAAATTTTAATGCAAAACCACAACTCTTCTCCAACAATGAAGCAGTAGATGAAGAGGTAGAGGTGGGGTGTGAATGACAGCTCATAGCTGATAAGGAAATTCCAGTCATTCTTATCAGCTCTGTATGGATAACAAAGAATATAAAGGGGAATCCCCCTCCACCTGAAGGGGAATCCCCGTTAGCCAGTATGTGTGACAGATATTTTGGTAACTAATTTTGACAAAGCAGAGAGAAAAATTGCACGAAGAAGCAAGAACTTCCTTTGAAATTTAACTTTCTTACTGTGTATTTTCTAAGCTTTTGTAATTTCTTCAATGTAAATTTTAATAATTATGTAATTTTTGTAGTTCCAATTGTTCTCTTCTCAAAACACTCAACAGTTATATCTGAAATGTTTTTGTTACTATACTGCTCCTATGTATAATTTTCTCAATAAAAAATGTGTGTTTATTTTTTTTAGGTTGGATATGATATTGGATCCTGCTGTAAGCCACTTCCGTCTATTTATATGAATATATTGGATAGTAGTTTGATTCCCGTTATTTTGCGCCTATCTTCTTCAACTCAAAATGAAAAATTATCATTTGAGCTTATATTTCACATATTATTAAAATGATCAGCTTTTTATTTTTTTAAAAAAGCTCCATTATTTCTGTTTGTAAGTCATAAACTACATGATACTATTAACACCTTTACAGCAGCATGATCTAGCTATAAAAGCCTTTTAGGTTAAAAGTCTAGAACATGTTTTGAAATGAAAGAAATTGTGCAATTTAGTTGAGATATTTTGAACAAATGGCATTTTCCTGAATTGTAATACTGCAATGTGTTCTACTTAGGTTCACTTACATGCTAATGAGCAGTGAACATTTCAATTTTTTGTGAATATTATATTTTCTAACCTAGTCAACAAAGTGAATAGAATAATATGCTATGTTGATGTTTATATTTTATCACTTGTGTGTAATTTTAAATTGCTTGCCTATTTGTTTTTACAATGTATTTGAACAACTTTGATAACAACATTCCTGATAAGAAGTGTCAGTGCATTCGTTGAAATATCTTTAAATATTATTTATTTATTCTTCTTTCTTCCTTTAAATCCTATTTTCCATATTTTCGCTTTATTTTATCTGTGACCTGTATCTTTTCAAGAAATTTTTTAGGGTTTTCAAAATTAATTTTTTGTTTGCTGAGTTGTATTTTGATTTATTTATTAAAAAAAATACAAAATTTTTAGTACCTTGAAATATTAACTCTAGCTTTTGAAAACATAATTTTTTTTTTCAAATTGATGAGTTTACTTGGTCAATTTCATTTTCTGTTTTCTGTAAAACCTTTTCTATTTTTTTTTTNTTTTTTTTTTTTTTTTTTTTTTTTTTTTTTTTTTTTTTTTTTTTTTTTTTTGTGATTTCATATTCAAATCCCTTTGCTTTCATCTTTTTAAACTTTGTGAATGAAATAAAGTACATTTTATTTTAATATATTATTTCTATGTTCAGCTTATTTTGTGTTTTTTTAACTCATATGATACACTTATTTTAAAGTACTGTTTATTAGATATCTATAAAAAGTTGTTTGAGGATATAACTTTAAATGATATTTATTTTTTTATAATTTTTGTACAAAATTAGTGAGGGAGCTGTATCAGTTGTTAACTTTATAAAAGTTCATGAGAATTTTATTCTTTATATGATTAAAAATGTACTGAATTATTTTTAATTTTTTAAAACTAGAAACAATAACAAATATCAGTGGCATATTAGAGTATAATAAATAAGTGTTGTCTGAATAATTAGTAGCTTTCTAAAATTATAAGTTATTTGAAGCATTTATTGAAAGACATGAAATGAGCTGTTTGAAGAAATTCTAATTAATATTTTTATAAATATTTCCGTCCATACTATTAAAATATTCTGTATTTCATTGGGGGGCAAATTTTGAAATTGCAGAAATGTAATTTTGGACTACAGAAATGAGGTTTCTAATATTTTGTCTGTGTATATAAATACTCTGCATAACTTCCAAATTCTAAAGAATTTTATTTCAAGAAGAATGAATTAGTCTTTATACATAAGATATTTCAAAAACCATTTTCTGTGCCATTTATATTTAAGTCTATATTTTATTTTCAGCTAATGTTTTTGTGTATATTCCTATTTATAAAAAATATTTGTAACATTCCAAACTATATCTTTTCATGTCATTTTATAGCCCTTTGATTAACTAAGAGAGAAAAATTAAGTCTGAACGAATGGTATATTTGCTAATTTTTTCCTACTCTATGTCATGTAATGTAAAAAGGATTTTAAAATGTCTATATGAATGGATAATTTGATAGGTGCCATTCTTATTATATATTTTAGTTTGCATTATTCATGTTTATCTCCTATTATAGCTTACTCTAAAGATTTAGAAACTTGTGCTAATTTAATGTTTTTGAAGCTTTAGTGAGTGAGCTGCCTTTTGACTACTATGCAAACTATTATAAAATGTCGTCTGTATTGTTGTGTTACAGGGCTGTCCAGTTTTTTGGATTCTGTGGACAGTAGTCAGCAAAATGTTTTATTTTTAACCATTAGTCCAATGCTACCATATAATGATTAATCATATTTTATTTCAACCATCAATTAAATAATGTACACAGTAATTGCATTTTTGAAAACTATAACTGGTTTTTAAAATATACGGCTATTTTACTCTGATGAAAAGTTATTAAATTGGTAGTATGTATTTCGAAAAGTTGCAATATGACTTTTTGTTTTCAAATATAACCTCTCTACCTTTAATTCAACCGGATCTCATAGAAAAAGCATCAATCTTCCTTGAGGGTAACACCAGGAGAGTTTTGGTGATTACTAATTAAATAAACCAAGAACGTTTATTGCAACTGTTTCATAATTCTTTTTGTTCTATTATTTAAACATGTAAATTATGTAATATTTTCAAAATTATGTTATCAGGTTAAAGATGCGGGATATTCCATGATCATTGCCATTAATCTATATTTTAAGAGTCCTTTTTGAAAACCAAGTTATTAGAGCTTAAACTTTAACCCTTTCGCGATGGGAAGCGCGAAAGCGCGCTTATCGCTGAGGCCGCCAGTCTCTCTCGCGTGTATCTTTCCAGGGCTGGAGGGTTTTTTGCTGTTAAGCCTAATTCCATGAAATTGCCGAAATATCAACATGTTGTTTAATATTGTTCTGTAGAGTATTTAAATGACATATGCTTTATATATATTTCTATGGATACTTTATTTACTCAAGTTATTTCTTGCTCAAATATATATTTTACACATTTTATTTTCATTATGTACTTATCATTTAATAACATTTAACATTACATATCTGAAAACTAAATATATGACTTGAAGTTCTTTTTCCGTATGAAATATTTTAAAACAGGGATCTACAAAATCTAACTATCCACTAAAAACTAAATCGAAAGTAGCGAGAAAAAAAGCCTCCCCTTCTTACTGCAAACAAATACCACGTGCGAATTTAATGAGCCGTCATAAAACATTCCTTCCCCCTAAAAACCACCTGAATGTACTCTCATCTGGAGTAGAAGGTCAAATCTACATGTATCTGAAACCATATGGACATACAATGCCATCTTATGGAGGAAATGTTATTTTTTAAAACGTTCCGAAACGCTGGCACAAATGAGTGACGGCCGGGGGTGAACGAGAAAGCGCTCTGGCATGCGGGTGTGTCGGCCGGGAAGTGAGCGCGTTTCTTGCTTGCACATATGTGACAGTGAACGCGAAAGGGTTAAGGATCACGGATTCATATTTAAGTAAAAAAATCAAAATTTGATTAATTACTATAAAAGTCATTGTCAGCAAAGGTGAACCTTATGAGCTAAACCAGTTCATTTGTTAAATTTAGTTAATTGAAGTTAATAATAATTTTTTAATGTAATTTCAGTCATTAAGAATGTCTTTCAGTTTTATCTGATAAAAAGATTATTTTTATTTAATTTTATTTCTGCCTTTGTGGCGTTGATTAACCTAGATTATGATTCAGTAACTTTTTAAAAAATTCTTTGTCTTTTTATCTCACTTAAATGTTTGTAACCCCTTTATGAGTAAAATCTAGTTATATACTATTTTTTATCCAGGTATCTTAAAGTATATAATAAAAGGAAGTTAACTGCAGAAACTCCCTATATCTCGTTACTAAGTGTTAATGAACTAAGAAAATAATTTTAAATTGCCATAGTCAAGCTCTTACTTGGCTATGATTTGGTGGGTGTCCCTGTTTCATATTTACATATATTCATATTTAAATATATTTTTAAGTGCAATGCTTTTGTGAACTAGTAATGCCTTATCTAGCTAAAAAGAAAGGCCCTCAGAATAATTTAAAATCTTTTTCTGTTTCAGTTTAGTTAATATAGTTTTTTTTTTAAAATTTTCTGTTAATAATTTTTTAAACATAACTTTATTTTTAATTTGTCAATTTGTTGGCCCTCCTAAATGTGATTATGTATGTAATTATTTTTGAGTTTTTCCTTTTTTTATGTGAATAAAAAATTTTAATAAAAAATCAAATAACAATAAACAACAATAATCAAACAATAACACAGCAATAATTAAGAGGTATTCAGCTTAAATATTACCTCTCTTTCTGTTATTACTTTATTGCTCCTATAAAGTACTTCTGGTGTTAAGCATGAGAAATGTTGAATTTTTTCTATTAATTCTGGAAAGACAATACTTTTATATAAACTTAAAGCATTTCATTTCTTTATGTTTGTGACTGGTTATTATTATTTGAGCTCAAAATTATTGCCTTTAAAAATTCATCCTACCATATTTTTTTCCTTTTTTTTTAAGTACATAAGTATTTTTTTATTCATTTCTGCTGATTAGATAAGTATACTAGATTATCTTTAACTTTGTTTTCTTCATAAATTTATGAAATTGTGCTCTTATGTTTTATTAATTTTTAGAACGCTACGCTTTTTTTTATTTTTATTTAGCCACAACGAAAAGCTTTAGTAACAATTAAAATTTTATGTACTTATTAACAAAAAATTTTTTTAATTGTCATTATTTTAATTAATAAAATTTTTTTTCTAAACTTATTCTTTTTGTATTTTTATTTTATGTCTTCTGAACAAATTTCAGGTTTTGAAGTAAAAAAAATGTAATTAATAGTAAGTTATATATTAGTATAGCAGTTGATATTTTTTTATTCTGCTTTCAAATATTTTAGATATTTTAGTTCAATTTTACTTAAGCATATTAGTTAGTTGAAAGAAATATATTTGTTGAATTCTTCAATTTTCAGTATTATTTGATTCTATTAATTATTTGCCTCTTTTTTTCTTTCTGTTTTTCTGTATATATATTGGTGTAATGCTAAGACTTTGTCAAATTACAATAGTCTTTAAATTAAAGTACAGTAGAATCTCGATAATTCGAGGTGACGCGAACCTACCTCGACCTTTCGAAAACTCAAATCATCTAAACTTAATATTTCATAAATATTTAAATAAATGGAAATAAAGCAATTTTTAAATTTTACCATTTAATTGATATTATATATTATATTTAAAGAAAAATTAGTTACATTAGAGGATCAGGGATTACTGCATTACGCCAAGTTACAATATTCATTATATTACTGCATCAGGTTAATTGTACTTAAAAATAATTGTCTAATGTTTTTTGTTTAAACAAACTGTTTACTTGTTTCAGTGATTAACACAGAAATTTGTTTTTCAACATGCAGTCACAGTAATTATCATAAAACCAATCTTAGTAATCGTTTTACGTGTTGTGTGTGCGTTTGGTAATTGTTTGGGCTCAAGACAGATTTTTTTTCACTAGCTCGGATTTATGGGAAACTCGAACAATCAGGACTCGAACTATCAAGACTCTACTGTATATGCACATTACTCATGCTTACATTTTGAATGTACTTAACCATGATTAAGATGTTGATAAATTGAAGTTTTAGTTTAAAAGGTAATATTTTAGTTTAATATATACTCAATATTAATTTTAAAATACTCCTTGTTTTCTTGTTATTAAAATGTGCTTTGTTTTTATTGTTTTGAAATACTCATTTTTTTGTAGTATTTAGATACTCAGTGTTTTTTGTGATACATAAAAATACTCATTGTTTCTATAATCATTAAGATACTCCTTGTTTTTGTATAAAAATAGTTTGTTGAATGTGTGCAAAAACAAGTTTAATTATATAAGTTCCTAATTGGTTAACTTTTTAGTTTTTCAATTATATTTAAATTTTTGGCAGCATTCCAGTAAGATTAGGTAAATGGAAGTAATATTCTTAAAT